TCTTCAAAAAGAGGGGGGGCCTCTGGCCAGGGGTCACCGGGGACCGGGGGGCCCTGAGGCAATGTTGGGGAGCCTGCCTCCTCTCGGTCCTCTGTGGGTTGGGGAGAGGGGTGGTCCTTGCTGCCTGAGATGCCTGTAGAGGAGGAAGGAGAAAGGTAAGAGGGGGTGAGGGCTTCTCTCCCGCACCCCAGCCCAGGCCCAGCCCAGGAGGAAGAGCCTCTCTGGATGGACAGAGCCTGAACTGACCCACAAACAGACCAAAAAAGTCTCTTTCAAAGAGCTCTTAACAGTAAATACTGTTAAGTATTTACAAACGTAAATACTTAAAATGGCATAAACACCCATCCCCGATGGATCTGAGCCATTCACTCGACCCACTTTACACTGACCAGACTTCTCCAGATAAGCTCCATCACCCCTGGTTGGGGTACCCCACAGGCTTTGCCCTCAGGCCAACCTGCACCCCAAAGTAGGCTACACCTTGGTGCCCCCAGCACACAGGCCCCATCATTGCAGTGACCCCAGCTCCTCAACACAGATCCCAGCTCCGAGGAAACTCATTCCCCACACATTAATCCTGACCCATTTCACCACATGGAGCCAGCAAACCATTTCTCATTTCTTTTTTTTTTTGGGTGGGGGGACGGAGTTTCACTCTGTTGCCCAGGCTGGAGTGCAGTCGCATGATATCGGCTCACTGCTCTGCCTCCTAGGTTTAAGAGATTCTCCAGCGTCAGCCTCCCAAGTAGCTAGGAACACACCCAGCTAATCTTTGTATTTTTTAGTAGAAATGGGTTTTCACCATTTCGAAAAGGCTAGTCTTGAACTCCTGACCTCGTGATATGCCCACCTCAGCCTCCCAAAGTGCTGGGATTACAATCGTGAGCCACTGCGCCCAGCCAGCAAACCATTTCTGGTGAAAGCCAAACACACCTTCTGCACCCCACCCCAAGCATCCAGTTCACCTCCCCCATCTTAACTATCCCTCATCACCCCAAACTGCACTCCCTGCCTCTGTTCCCGCCTCACCTCCGGCATGCAGGCAAAGGACCAGGATCCCCAGGAGCTTCCAGTTGAGCATCATGGCTGTGTACTGGCCCCCAAAGCTGGGGTGGGCTGAGTCTGGGTGCCTGAGAACCCCAAGAGGCTTTATAGGGGAGGAGGGGAGGAGAGGCCAGTCCAGTGACACAGGAGTACCATGAGAACAGAACTGGTCAGACCCGTTGGGAAGGCCCGGGCTAATGTGTCACCTCTGAAGTTGGCGTCTCTCATTTTAGTCCCCCAGCCCAAGACCCAGCTGCCCGCTCTCCCTATCATGACCCAAACCCTGTGTCACCCCACCCTGGTTTTCATGCCCTCCATCCACACCCTGCAGCAGTCAGTACCCACTTTGGCATCTCTGTAATCACAGAGATGTTCACCTTCACCCTTTGCAACTATTGGAAGCCAAAGAATGGGAGCAAACCAGGCGTTGGGAAGCACCGTAATTAAAGGTTGGGAGGCAGCATACCTGCGCTGGGGAAGGGGGTGCCTTTCAAACCTGGGATACAGCAAGGACAGTGTCAGCTACTACCCCAGCCTCCCCACTTGCCCCCATGCTTAACACTCCCTTGGGGCTTTGTTCTTTCCTGGGCACCTCCCTCCCCTGGGATCCAGGCATCCTGCTCTCTAGCCTGTCCTTCAGGCATGCAGGGGACTTCCAAGCAGTGACATCCGAGGAATTCCATCCGGGAGCCACCCCATGACTGCAGATGACTGCAGAAGAGGAAGGACACAGAAGGATATCCTGGTCCCCTCTCCCCACCCAGAGCTGTTTGCGTGGGTCCCGCCAGGCTCCAACAACCTCAGCCCCTTCCTCCCCCTCAGGAATCCTCCTGTCCGCCTCTAGGGCCTCCGCTCCAACTCTGCTGTGCTCGCCTCCTCCCTCCCATTTTCCTTTCAGTCTCAGCTCCTTGGTCTAGGCCTCCCAGAGACCCCTAGAATGTTTCCCTCGAGGACCTCTCTGCCTGGTAGTCTGTTAGCCTCTCAGAAGTAACATGTCCAAAATAATATTTGATTCCTCCCAGGTTGTTCCCCATCTGGTCTGCTACCCCACAGTAAGGGACACCCCTGTCCCCTCCAGGACTCACACAGAAACCTTCACTTCTCTCATCCACCATCCACAGCCCATCTACCTGCCAGCCCCTCCGTGCCCTGTCCAAACCCAACCCATCGACCTGAGCCACCATCTCCCCCCAGCCTCCCCAACACCCTTCTAATTGGCCCCCCTGCTCCCACTCATTATCCCTCTCCCCAAGTACAAAACCTGCCCTCCACAACCAGCAAAGGAGCTCTTAAAATGTACATCAGGCCAGGCGCAGTGGCTCACGCGAGCACTTTGGGAGGCTGACACGGGAGGACCACTTGAGCTCAAGGAGCTGGAGACCAGCCTGGGCAACACTGTGAGACCCCGCCTCTACAATTTGAAAAAAAAAAAAAAAAGGCCAGGCGAGGTGACTCATGCCTGTAATCCCAGCACTTTGGGAGGCCGAAGTGGGTGGATCACCTGAGGTCGAAAGTTCGAGACCAGCCTGACCAACATGGAGAAACCCCATCTCTACTAAAAATACAAAATTAGCAGGGTGTGGTGCTGCATACCTGTAATCCCAGCTACTCCAGAGGCTGAGACAGGAGAATCACTTGAACCTGGGAAGCAGAGGTTGCAGTGAGCTGAGATCATGCCATTGCACTCCAGCCTGGGCAACAAGAGTGGAACCCTGTCTCAAAAGGAAAAAAAGGCCAGGCACGGTGGCTCACACCCTGTAATCCCAGCACTTTGAAAGGTGAGGTGGGCGAATCACCTGAGGTAAGGAGTTCAAGACCAGCCTGGCCAACCTGGTGAAACCCCGTCTCTACTAAAAATAAAAAAATTAGCTGGGCATGGTGGTGCATAGTCGGTAATCCCAGCTACTTGGGAGGCTGAGGCAGGAGAATCGCTTGAACCTGGGAAGGTGGAGGTTGCAGTGATCCGAGATTGCACCACTGCACTACAGCCTGGGCAACAGAGTGAGACTCCATCTCAAAAAAAAAAAAAAAAATTTAGCTGGGTGTGGTGGTGTGCAACTGTAGTCTCAGCTACTGGGGAGGTTGAAGTGGGAGCATTGCTTGGGCCCAAGAGGTCGATACTGTAAGTGAGCCATGATCATGCCACTACACCCCAACCTGGGTGACTAGAGCGAGACACCCCATCTCAAAAAAAAAAAAAAGTACACTAAGGGGATGAGCTGCTGTGAAGCTGCTGCCATGATCACCGTGCGCTGCTTCCCTGCAGCAAGATGGTGGGCAACATGTGGGAGACCTACCTGGGGCTGCTGCAGGCCAAGTACACTGAGGGGGATGCCCTGGCCCTGAAGCCCTATAGCCACCGCTGCACGCTGCTGGCCTGGGTGGACCTGATCCAGAAGCGGCTCAATTTACACACTCCTGGGGGAGTGACCTCAACGGACCCACCCACCTGCTGTGCTGACCATGAGCAGTCACTGTCTTGCTCCGAGTTCACTAAACTGAGGCGTCAGGAGTGCTGGGAGCAATGGCTGACAGCAGTGCATGGTTGTGTGCACCATACTCTGGAAGGGACCATCCAATGAGATTCTTTCAGGAAAGGACCGGGTGTGGTGGCTAATGCCTGTAATCCCAGTGCTTTGGGAGGCTGAGGCAGGTGGATCACCTGAGGTCAGGAGTTTGAGACCAGCCTGGCCAACATGGTGAAACCCCCTTTCTGCTAAAAATACAAAAAATTAGCAGGGCATGGTGGCGAGCGCCTGCACTTCCAGCTACTTGGGAAGCTGAGGCAGGAGAATTGCTTGACTCCAACAGGCAGAGGATGCAGTGAGCCGAGATCATGCCATTGCACTCCGGCTTGGGCAAGAGCAAAAAGTCCATCTCAAAAAAAAAAAAAAAAAGTCTTTCAGGAAAAAAACCAAATGTACATCAAAGCATGTTGCTTCTTCCCTTTGTTTGGGGATCGAGGACTGGTTCTCACTGTCTCTAGGCTGGGGTGCAGTAGTGCGATCACCACTCATTGCAGCCTCAACCTCTTGGGCTCAAACAATCCTCCCACCTCAGCCTCTGGAGTAACTAGGATCATGGGTGCACACCATCACGCCTTCCAATATTCTTTTTTCTTTGTGCAGATGGAGTCTCCTTATGTTGGCTGGTCTTAAACTCCTGGGCTCAAGCGATCTGCCCACCTTGGCTTCCCAAAAAGGGAGTGCTGGGATTCAGCTACTCGGGAGACTGAGGAAGGAGAATCGCTTGAACCCAGGAGGTGGAGATTGTAGTGAGCTAAGACCTAGCACTCAAAAAAAAAAAAAAGTGCTGGGATTACAGGCGGGAGCCACAGCACCTGGCCCTCTTCCGTTTTTAAAGAAGCACTCCAACGGCTTTCTACTGACTTAGAGCAAAATCCAAGCTCGGCCTTGCTGCAGCATCCTGTGATGCTTCTATACAGAGCCCTCCTGGCCTCCACAGGAGCCCGCTTCAGTCAGGCCTCAGCACAAGGTCCCCTGCTCCGAGGCCTCTCCCCACAGAGTCAGTTTCTATGACATCATTGCACTGTACTTTCTCTTCAAGCACTTCAGACTGCTTGAAATGACCCTGTCCATCTGTGTAGGGCCTGTCTGCCCTCTCTCTCCCACTAGGATGTAGGCTCTCAGGGCCCGTTGGGCCCACCATGGTGTCCCCCTGGGCTAATACAGTGCCTGGCTCTGACGCTGCTGTTGAATGAATGTTTCACCTTCCCCACTCCTGGCATTTATCATCTTCCAGAAGGAGAGTTTTAAAACAAAAGTTGAGGATAAAGAAATACAGGAGCTTCCCAAAAAATTTCCAGAGCTGCCTAGAAAGAGGATTTGAAAAGGTGCCACCGAGAGAAAGAGCTATGGGTAGGATCACTTCTCACTCCAAGTGGCTGCCAGGAGAATTCCCACAGATTCCCAGAGATAACATTTCCGAACAATGGCTCCTACAGTAGTTATCTTTATTTAGAGCAGAATTCAGACTCAGCTACATTCCCCAGGGCAGGCCCACTGGCTGGGGAAGGGATAGTCTGTCCCTACACCCACTTCTCCAGCCTCCAGGCTGGCTTTCCCTCCAGTTCTCAGCTGCTTAGCTGCTCATCTGCGGGTTGGAGCTGGAGCATCTGTCAAGGTTGTTTCCTTGACAAATAGCTTCCTCTTTGGAAATGGCCTCACTCAGGCCCTGCAGGTCGTCGAGCAGGACAGAGAGGGACCCTGGGAAGGAAGACAGGGGATGAGCACCAGATGAGGAAACAGGGCTGGCACAGGACATCGGGGCTAGGAGGGAGGAGGCCCTTTGGTCCAAGCGGGGCATGGCTAAGAGGCTAAGAGCCTGGAAGGATCAGAGAACAACACTCATCATGCAAGAGTCTGGAGCGGAGATTCCTGAAGTGTCCCCATTTATCCCTTGTCCCTTTGTGCTTGGGCCAAGACCTTTTATGGACTCCCTGGTGGGCACTGCTGCTGCTACAGGTGCAGATGCTGAACACCCTAGAGGCCTGCCATTGGACACCACAGATTTCTTCTTATCCAGTAGGGAAGGAAGAACTGCCAATAGTCGCTGCTGCTTGTAATGGGAGAGGAGACCCTCCTGCTGCAAGGTGGCCTGGGAAGGAGAGGGTTAAACGCCACCTAGCCCGGGTAGAGCCTCCCCCACCATCCTCCTTCCACACCTCTAGCCCGGGAACCAGCCCAGGATGGGCCCTAGTCTCTGCAATCCTGTCTCCTACCAGCATGAGGTTCTTATCCCGCTCTAGTTCCTGCAGGCGCCGGGCCAGTCGCTGCCCCTCCTCCTTCCGGGCCTCCTCCTGCAGACGCCTGAGCTCCTGGCTCCGTTCCTTTTCCTGGGCAGCTTTGCGCTGGATCTGGCGTAAGGAGACCACTGCAGAGAGGGCAAGGCACAGAGGGGGCAGGTGTGGGTCTGCCCAGAGGCAGCCAGGCACCACGAAAACAGGAACAAACACGGGGTCACCAGCTCTGTCTTGGGGAGGCTGTTTTGCTCTGTGGATCTGTCTCTTCTGCACAGTTGAAGGGGTGGGCCGATGCTCCAGGAGCCTGGGAAGCTGTGAACCTAAGTACCTTCCTCATCCCTGATCCATCCTGGAGTTCCTCACGGGAAATCTGAATATGGACTGGGTTAGATTTTGTGCAATTAGTGTTCATTTCTTAAAGTTTGATGATAGCTATATAGGAAAATTTACTGGTTTTGGGAGATCCAGCTCAACGACTTATATTTACGGCTTACTTGAAACGTTAAATGATTACACTGGGCACGGTGCCTCATGCCTGTAACCCTTTGGGAGGCTGAGGCAGGCTGATCACAAGGTCAGGAGTTTGTGATCAGCATGACCAAAATAGTGAAACCCCGTCTCTACTAAAAACACAAAAAGTCAGCCAGGCGTGGTGGTGGGCGCCTGTAATCACAGGTACTCTGGAGGATGAGGGAGGAGAATCGATTGAACCCAGGAGTTTGCAGTGAGCCAAGATTACGACATCGTACTCCATCCTGGGCAACAGTGCAAGACTCCTTCTCAAAACAAAACAAAGAAAAACATTAAAACTTACTTTAAGTGATTCAAAAAATGTATAAATATGTGTGTATACAGGTAAGAGACCAAATGTGGCAAATGTTAACTGCTATAGTTAGAGGAGATATATGAATATTCATTACACAATTCTTTTTTTGACACAGGGTCTTCCTCTATTGCCCAGGCTGGAGTGCAGTGGCACAATCTTGGCTCACTGCAGCCTCGACTTCCCAGGTTCACATGATCCTCCCGCATCAGCCTCCCAAGTAAGCTGGGACTACAGGTGCTTACCACCATGCCTGGCTAATTTTTGTATTTCTTTTTAGAGATGGGGTCTCACTATGTTGCCCAGGCTGATCTGGAACTCTTGAACTCAAGCAATCCTCCCAACCTGGTCTCCCAAAGTGCTGGTCCCAATTCTTTTAACTTGTTCAGGTGTGTGAAATTTTTGCTAGAGGGTAATTGCTGGTGTTAGACATCTGGAAGGTGGTGTCCTCTGTGAAGGGGTATGACTGGAAGGGGTACAGTGAGGGTCCTGAGCTAGTCATATGCTGTTTCTTAATCTGGTGCTGGCTACATGGGTGTGTTTATGATGTGAGAATTCATCTGTGTCATTCCTGGATACCTTCATTACCTCCTGTAATGAAGCTTTGAAAAAACGTTGAGGGGGAAATAATAACCTTATGTCTGAACACTTCCTTCTTCCTGGAAAGCCCTATCCACCCTGGCAAGGCTCACCGGCCTTGGCATGCTCCCTCCGAGCCTCGTTCAGCCTCCTCTCTGTGTCTGAGAGTTGCTCCCGAAGCCGAGTTTCCACTTCAGCCACCTTCTCTTGCAGGGCTGGGGTGAAGGTGCAGATGGGACGTATCAGCAGGAGCTTTGATTTGCAGTTCCCATCCCACCCTCCAAGGGAAGCACCCCTTTCCCCTCTGGACACCTTGCCCGTAGAGTTCCTGCTGCTGGGTCAGCTCCTGTCGCAGACTGGCGGCCTCCTTCGTGCTCTCCTGCTGGCCCTGGCGTGCCACATCCAGCTGCAGCCCCAAGCTAGCCAGGGACTCCTGGGTCTGCTGCAGCTCCTGCTCCAGCTGCTGGGCCACCTTGCTCAGCTGCTGGCGCTCTGCCTCCCCTAAAAGGAGGGGGTGCTGGCTCAGGCCTCTCCTGGAACCCTAGATGCCAGGTCTTTCTTCATCCTCTCCACCCCCTGGCAACCAGGTGTACCTTGCTCCCGGGCCCGGCCCACCTCCTGCTGGATGAGGCGGGCACTCAGCTGCAGTTCTGCATCCAGGCGGTTTCGTTCTTCACGAAGCTGCTGCAACTCAAGGCTCACGTCTGTGACGGGTGGGGGTAGGGGACAGCTGGGATGGGGACGAGAAAGAGTCAGGAGAAGTCACCCAGCTGCCTGACCCCTAAGCCCCCATCCCGCCTCAGTCCTCATTGTTTTGGGGGTCCCAGCAACCAATGCCCTAAAGCCCCAACCACCTCACCCTAAAGCCCCATCCACCCCACCCTAAAGCCCCATCCACCTCAAAGTGCCCAAACTTCACCTCTCCTGGCGCAACTGAGCAACAGCAAGCTTTCGAGCCATCAGGCCTGGGAGGGAAAAGGCAGGGAGAAACAGATGAAGTTTGCATGGGAGAAAGTGGGGGACTGGGGAGTAAGGGAAAAAGAGATGAAAGGACTGGTGAAAAGAGGAAGGTGGATGATGTGGGATCAGAGAGCTGGGCCAGGAAGAAGAAAGTCCGAGCTGGTGGGGCAGGAGCAGGATGTGGTTCGCAGTTGCCCTACGCACCCCGAATGGTGTGGACCTTGCGGACAGCATAGCTGAGTCGGTTGCTGAGACTGGGAAGCCGGGTGACAGCCTGTTCCACCTTAGCCATGGTGCTCTCGAGCCAGATCTGAGAGCTGGAGAGGGCACAGGTCACTGACCCTCCAGGCCTCCCTCATTCCCAAAGGACTTGCTGTGTCTTGTATAGACAATTCCCTCTATCCTGTCCTGTTATGCAAGTAAAGAATGCACAGCTTCTGTCGATTTTCTAAAGGGTCCTTGCCCCAGGAATGCATTAAATGACCTGTATCTTTTCAAGCAAACTGTTAAGCTTATTTCTCATAACCTGTGTTTAGCTCACTGTTAGGCATCAAAGATCAAAGTCATCCTCTCTGGCAGGGGCGGGGGCTCCCGCCTGTAATCGCAGCACTTTGGGAGGCTGAGGCAGGAGGAACGACCTTAAGTCAGGAATTGGAGACCAGCCTGGCCAATATGGTGAAATTCTGTCTCTACTAAAAATACACAGAGTTAGCTGGGCATGGTGGTGTGCACCTGTAATCCCAGCTACTCAGGAGGTTGAAGCACTTGAACCTGGGAGGTAGAGGTTGCAGTGAGTCAAGATTGCACTCCTGCACTCAAGCCTATGTGACAGAGCAAGGCTCTGTCTCATCAAAACAAAACGAAACAAAGTTATCCTCTCCAACAAGCCCAGGGGTGTCGATCCTCTAGCACCAATGATGGGCAGGTCCACGTGCTTTACCAGCTTTTACCAGCTGGCTGTGCCAAAAGCAGGACCAACCTGGCTCATGAAAACTGAGCAGCTTAAACAGATCCTGGGAGGAGGCCAAGGGAGTGTCTAGAGCCCGGCTGGGGTTTCCTCATAGAGTTCAGGTCTGCGTCCACAGAAAAACACCTGATGATGAAGGCTGGCAGTTGTATTCCCAGCAGCACAGTAAAGATTACTTTGATCTGGAAACTGTTTGAGTAGATGCTTCCAACACCTACCACAGCTCTTATTAAAGCCATTTTCTAATGAAGTCCCCAATTACCTAGAGACAACCTAATAAACCCAGCAACAATCCGAGTTTGGGCTGCTTTAAGCCTGGAGGACTTCTGGCCATGCATCATTATACAGAACCATTTCTGTGATCGCCTGGTACCAAAGTCAAACCCTGTCCACAGAACATCTTTCTGTTCCAGAGACAGGAGGCACATGCAACGGATTGAACCTGGGTGGCAGGTCATCATAACTAGTCCAATTCCATTCATGTTTGAAATTTTTCATAATTTTTTAAGCTGAATCAGTTCCCAAGGTACAAATCCAAGAGAGTGATGGGCAAGAACTCATCCTGCATCTTAATTTGGCTAAACCAAAACTTATCTTTATCTAAATTATCTAACCCATCAAGAAGAGCCAAAGATAACAACAAACATTTACAAGCCAGACACTGTGCTAAGAACTGCCTGCCTTGGGTATCTCAATGTCTAAGGCTGAGGGGAAGTCATCACCAGCACAAAGAAGCTTTGCTGGATCCTTAGAGGTTTTTCTGAAGGTCACAGAATTGTTGGTAATGAAACAGCTAGGAAGATGGTATAAGAGACAAAGGCTGGCAATTGATTTAGAAGGAAACTAACTGGCTTACATTTTAGAGGGAATATCTAGTAACCAAGTAAATACAAAGCTTTAAATAAATAGACTAGGCTGGGCACAGTGGCTCACACCTGTAATTCCAGCACTTTGGGAGCCAGAGGTGGGTGGATCATCTGAGTTTAGGAGTTCAAGACCAGCCTGGTCAACATGGTGAAACCCTGTCTCTACCAAAAATACAAAAATTAGGCCAGGCACGGTGGCTCCCGCCTGTAATCCTAGCACTTTGGGAGGCAAAGGTGGGCGGACTGCCTGAGCTCACGAGTTTGACACCAGCCTGGGCAAGACAGTGAAACCCCATCTCTACTAAAATACAAAAAAAAAAAAAAAAAAAAAAAAATTAGCTAGGCATGGTGGAATATGCCTGTAGTCCCAGCTACTCAGGCAGCTGAGGCAGGGGAAATGCTTGAACCCGGGAGGTGGAGGTTGCAGTGAGCCAAGATCATGCCACTGCACTCCAGCCTGGGTGACAGACCAACTCTCCATCTCCAAAAAAAAAAAAAAAAATCAGCTGGGCATGGTGCTGGGTGCCTGTAGTCTCCACTACTCGGGAGGCTGAGGCAGGAGAATCACTGGAACCTGGGAGGCAGAGGTTGCAGTGAGCTGAGATTGCACCACTACATTCCAGCCTGGGTGACAGAGCAAGACTCTGTCTCAAAGTAAATAAGTAAATAAATAAATAGACTAAATTTTTCTGCAGTGAAACAGGGAATGCCTGTAAAATTTTAGAGAAGGAAAGGATTATGATGAAGTGTCCACACTCTCCATCCTTGAACAATGGTGCAAGTGAAGATCCTCCCAGGTGCTCTATTTAGCTCAAGCCATTACCAGACTGAACTGCAGGAGGAAGCAAGGCCTCACCTCCAGCCCAGCAGGCAACAGGGAATTCATAACAAGTAATCAGGTATGAAGGCAGAGGGGGCTGCCCCAGGAAAAGAAACAAACACAGGAACTTTGACAGGGCTAAATGTGCCCAGCCCTGTAGCCTCCCTGTAGCCTCCAGTGGCCAGCTTTCCAGCCCCTCTTGTCTGAGGCTCTGGGAAGCTGAAGGGGCAGAAACAGTACTCCATCCACCCCTCCATCCCTGATACCTGCTGACAGCATTGACCACAAGCCTCAGCTGTTCCTCGGCTGAGGCTGTCTGCTGCTGCCACCAGCGCCTGGCCTCCTGAGCACGGCTCAGCTCCAACTGCAAGGCCTGGGGAGGACGCAGCAAAGGACAGGGTCTTTCCCTGAGTCCTGGGTGCAGCCCCAGACAAGGGGCTCCCTTGCCCTCCCAGAGTCTCTACTGGGCTCAGACACCAACCTTGGCACCCATCCGCTCCACCTCCGCCTCTGCAGCTTTGTCCTGCAGGGATCGCTGCAGGATGGCCTGCTCCTGGCTCTGGGCTGTCACTTGTTCCTGGAGTGAGGCCACCTGGGAGAGGAGAGGGAGCTGGGCAAGGCCTTCTAGAGCTAAAAGCTGATGGGGGCACTGGAAGCAAAGTGGCAGGTGCAGAGATCTCTGCAAGAATGCCATGCAGGGGCCAGGCGAGGTGGCTCACGCCTGTAATCCCAGCACTTTGGGAGGCTGAGGCAGATGGATCACTTGAGGTTAGGAGTTCAAGAGCAGCCTGGCCAACATGTTGAAACCCCATCTCTACAAAAAATAGAAAAATTAGCTGGGTGTGGTGGTACCTGCCTGTAGACCCAGCTACTCAGGAGGCTGAAGCAGAAGAATCACTTGAACCCGGGAGGTGGAGGTTGCAGTGAGCTGAGATTACGCCACTGCACTCCAGCCTGGGTGACAGAGAGAGATTCCTTCTCAAAAGAAAAAAAAAAAAGGAAAAAAGAAAAAGAAAGAATGCCATGCAGGAGACCAAAGCTTAGGTTCCTGAGAATGGAATCTGAGCCCAGTGTTCCTTCCATGTTCCACATTCCATGTTCCCCCTTGAACATGGGACTAGCCCTTCACCTACCTCACAGGACCCACCAACTGACCATGCCACCCTCCTTAGATGCTGTCACCTCCTCAGAGAGGCTGTCCCCAACCATCCTACCTGAGGCTGACCCACCCCACAGTCTCACCATCATATTATCTCATTATCTTTTGATTCTTTCTTAATACTTTCTTTTTTTTGAGACAGGATCTCACTTTGTCACCCAGGCTACAGTGCAGTGATGGGATAACAGCTCACTGTGGCCTTGACCTCCCGTGCTCAGGTGATCCTCCACCTCAGCCTCCACAGTAGCTGGGACTATAGGCATAAGCCACCATGCCTGGCTAACTTTTTATATTTTCAGTAGAGACAGGATTTCACGTTTCCCAGGCTGGTCTCCAACTCCTGACCTCAAGTGGTTCAACTGCTTCAGTCTCCCAAACTGTTGCCATTACTCAGTTTGGCACGGTGGCTCCACCTGTAATCCCATCACTTTGGGAGGCTGAGGTGGGCGAATCATCTGAGATCAGGAGTTTGAGACCAAAGTGCTGGCATTACAGGCGTGACCACTGCACCGGCTTGAATCTTTCTGTATAGCACACATAATTACTCAACGTTACCTGCTTACTTGCGTGTTCTGTGTCTCTGCTCTAGAATGCAAGCTCCACATTTCGGTTTTGTTCAGGGCTGTGTGCCCAGCATGTGGTAACCACTCAATAAACACCGGTTGAATGGATGCCACCCTTATGGAAGGAGCAAGGTGCTGGGAGGGAATACAGGGAATAAAGAGAGTGTGCAGTGACCTGTCCCTTCAGCTGCTTAACAGAGTCGCTGTGTTCCAGCTCCTGGGCCTTTAGCTGTACCATGAGGGCAAACACCTTCTCCCGCCAGCGGTTCAGCAGGGACTGGCACTTCCTGGTAAACTCAGGTTCCAGGGAATCTGAAGGTTGAACCTGAGGGAGAAGGAGCGAGAGGCAAAGTGTGGGCTCCCGGGGGAGGAGAGGAGGGAGGTGGTGTCTTTGTTTCTCCTGTCCTGCCTGGGCAACATGAGCTACAGCAAGTTCACAGGAAGAAAGAGATCCAAGCAGGTTCTGGGGCACACCGACCCCTCCCGCCCACAGGGAGGAAGCAGGGGGACAGTAGGTGCAGGATGCGGCTGAGGGTGAGGGGCTGGGGGTCAGGCTGTACCTTCCTGGTCAGCTCCTCCTCCTGCAGGGCGAGGATTTGCGTGAGGCTCTGCACCCGCACCTGCAGCAGCTCTGCAGTGGCGTGCAGGCCGTCCCGGTCCTCCTGCAAGTGCTGTGGGCGGAGGGAAGCAGCACCTCTGTAGGGCGTCCATGCCACCTCAGGTACCACTTTCTCTCCTGGGGACTATATACACGTTCCTCCGAGGGCTATGCTTGCCCCCCTACCTGATCCCCAAATCCCCACATAGATGCACTCCTGCACTCTCACCTGCACGGTTTCCAGAAGCTTCTGTCGCTCCGGTTCCCATGTCTGGCTGTGAACCTCAGGAGGGACTTGTTCTCCGACATATTTTCTTAGATTCTCAACCAGGGTCACCTGAGTCTCCAAATCGTCCTGGGTCTTGCTAGCGTTGGGGTGGGAATGGAACAGCCACCAGTGGGGCGCCCTGCAGACCCACCACATCACCAACTGCTGTTCCCCCTGGTGTCTGCCCACCTACCTCAGTTGATTCCGAAGCAGCTCGGCCTCCCTCTGAGCCTCGGCCAGCTCCTTGGCTTCCCCTAACCTCCTGGTTTCCAGACTACTCAGAGACTTCTCCAAGCCCTCGGCCTTGCTGGTCAAACTGGAAAGAGCCTCCTGGTGAGCCTGTGTCAAAGAGGACAGCTACGGAAAGAAGAGGGGGCTCAGCAGGGGCTCAACCCCACATGGGGGCCTTCCTTGTTCCCTTCACTCCCACTTTCTGTGACCTTAGAGAAGGACCCAACCAATCACCCAATTGCGCACAGCAAATGGAGAGCTGTTGGTTGTGTGCAGTGGCTCACGCCTCTAATCCCAACACTCTGGGAGGCTGAGATGGGTGGATCACCTGAGGTCAGGTGTTCAAGACCAGCCTGGTCAACATGGTGAAACCCTGTCTCTACCAAAAATACAAAAATTAGCCAGGCTTGGTGGTATACACCTGTAATCCCAGCTACTCATGAGGCTGCAGCAGGAGAATTGCTCCAACCCAGGAGGCAGAGGTTGCAGTGAGCCAATATCCCACCATTGCAATTCTAGCCTAGGCGACAGTGAGACTCTCTCAAAAAAAAAAAAAAACAAAAAAACAACAACAACAAATGGAGAGCTGGTAATTCACTCTCTGCAGTTGCCCCACAACCCATCAGCAGTTCTTGTCAGATCTCCCTCAAAACATATCTTCACCTCTCTCTGTCTCCACGGCCACCAACCCAAGGTAAGCTACCTTCATCTCTTGCCTGGGCCACAGCAACCATCTCCTAACGAGTCTTTATAAATCCTCGGTGGCTTATCACAGCATTCAGAACAAAACCCAGGCGCCCCTCCACGCCTGCGGTCTGGGTGACCCCACCTCTGCCTGCCTCCTGAGCTCACCCCTGTAGGCTCTCCCACTGCTCCCTGCTCCAGCTGCAGGGAGTCTGCTGAGAACCAGACAGTGGCCCCTCCTTGCTCTACAGACCCCAAGCGATAGCCCCTCCTCAGGATGGCCTCGCTGGGCTCTCTCATGCCCCCTACCACCCTACTCTACCCCATCAGTTCGCATACTCCCAAGCACTTAGACTGACCATGTCTTGCTTATGTGTATGTCTTGCTTATGGTAACTGTGTTACCGTCAGTTGGGCCATAGGGAAGGAAAAGGAAGAATTTTGTCTTTTGCTCATGACACCTCAAAGGGTTGTAGGGGTGTCAAAGCCACCAAGAGTCATAGGATGGACTGGGAAGGAGAGCATAGTAGCCACTCTGTTTCCTGGTCTCCCTCCTCTAGTCCTGTCTCCATACAATAAAGTTAATTTGGGTGACATAAATCACAAAACTTTTAAGACATAAAATATAAATATAATCATGTCATTTCCCTGCTTAAAACGTTTCAACAGTTACTTATTACTTAAAAAAAAATTTCGGGGGGGTTGGGTGCGGTGGCTTACACCTATAATCCCAGCACTTTGGGAGGCTGAGACGGGTGGATCATGAGGTCAAGAGATCAAGACCATCCTTGTCAACATGGTGAAACCCCACCTCTACTAAAAATACAAAAATTAGCTGGGCATGGTAGTGCACGCCTGTAGTACCAGCTACTCGGGAGGCTGAGGCAGAAGAATTGCTTGAACCCAGGAGGCGGAGCTTGCGGTGAGCTGAGATCGCGCCATTGCACTCCAGCCTGGGTAACAAGAGTGAAACCCTGTCTCAAAAAAAAAAAAAGAAAAATAATTTTTTTTTTTAATTCCTTTTTTTTTGTTTCTGGAGATGGAGTTTTACTTTGTTGCCCAGGCTAGATCTCAGCTCACTGCAACGCTGCCTCCCAGGTTCAAGCGATTCTCCTGCCTCAGCCTCCTGAGTAGCTAGGATTATAGGCATGAGCCACCACATCTGGCTAATTTTTGTATTTTTAGTAGAGATGAGGTTTCACCATGTTGGCCAGGCTGGTCTCAAATTCCTGACCTCAAGTGATCCACCCACTTTGGCTTCCCAAAGTGCTGGGATTACAGGCGTGAGCCACCATGCCAGGCCCTAATTTATTTTATAAAATAGACACGGGGGTCTCACTTTGTTGCCCAGGCTAGTCTCAAACTACTGGGCTCAAGTGATCCTTCCACCTTGGCCTCCCTAAGTGCTAGGATTATAGATACGAGCCACTGTGTCCAGCCTGCTCATTACTCTTAAGGGAAAGTATCAAGTTCTGAACTGACCAAGGCCTTGCGCCCTGGGTCCTGTGCTCTGCAGCACACTCAGGGCCTTCATCTCTGTGCTCCAGTCTTCTGGCCTCCTCCTGTCCCCACCTCTACCTGCTGTCCTGCTGAGTGTTCAGCAGCTACCATTGCACCCCACACGCCTCTTCACTGGCCACCTCCTATCCAGCACAAATGGTAGCTTGTTTTTTTCAGTCTTGTTCCGCTGCCTCGGCTGGAGGGTAGTGATCTCACCTCATTGTAATGTCTGCCTCCCGGGTTTAAGCAATTCTCCTGCCTCAGCCTCCCAAGAAGTTGGGGGATTACAGGCACCTGCCACCATACCTGGCTAATTTTTGCATTTTTTATAGACTGGGTATCGTCATGTTGGTCAGACGGGTCTCGAACTCCTGGCCTCAAGTGATCTACCTGCCTCGGCCTCCCAAAGTACTAGGATTGGAGGCATGAGCCACTGTGCCTGGCCTAACTTCTTATTGCTAAGTTTCTTTCATTAATCTCCTTTGTCCATTTTCTGATTGGACTGCTCATCTTTCCATTACCAATTTCTATACACACATTATATATTAGGGATAGTATCCTTTTCTTGTTATCTGAGCTATAAATATAGCTGGTGTTTTGTTTTTTTTTTTTGCCATTCCAGTCAATGGGTCAATCTTTTCCTTTATGGCTTCTAGATTTTGGATTTTGACTCACAGGTAGAAAGGCCTTGTACACTACAAGGTTATAAGGAATTCAATTATCCCTTGTTTTCTCCCAGTTCCTTTATGGTTTCTTTATTTTTTAATTTTTTTGAGATGGATTCTAGCTCTGTTGCCCAGGCTGGAGTGCAGTGGCATTATCTTGGCTGACGACAACCTCCACCTTCTAGGTTTAAGCGATTCTCCTGCCTCAGCCTCCCGAGCAGCTGGGATTACAGGCATGCACTACCACCCCCAGCTAATTTTTGTATTTTTAGTAGAGACGGGTGTTCGCCATGTTGGCCGGGCTGGTCTCAAACTCCCGACCTTGTGATCCACCTACTTCAGCCTCCCAAAATGCTGGAATTACAGGCATGAGCCACCCATGCCCAGCCCTATGGTTACTTTTCTTGACATGTCAACTGGTTACAGTGGCCTTCCCTGAACCCCAGACCAAGTTAGTGCTCTCTAGTCCTTCTTTCAGGCATTCCCCCCAAATGCAATTACTTATGATTAAATTAAATATAGATGAGTGTATCCCCCACAAGGCTGTCAGCTCTATCCACGAAGGCAGGACTCAGGCTAATTTGGTCCCTAAGTCTGAAAAATGGCAAAGAGTAAGCACTGTGGACTGAATAATCTCTATCCCAGTCCACCACAGCCTCCTTACCCACCTTCCTCACTGCCCTCCACAATACCCCCAATGAATTGGTACCTGCAGTAAAGCAGGGAGGCAACTACTTCCTACTAGAAAGGAAAGGAGGGCTTCAAGTGGTGGGAGGCCACGTGAGTCTTGGGGGAAAAGTGGAATCTGATAAGATAAAAGCACCCAAATTAAGATAAAAGCACCCACCTGAGTCTTGGGGGAAAAGTGGAATCTGATAAGATAAAAGCACCCAATTAAGATAAAAGCACCCAAAGCCGGGCGCGGTAGCCCAAGCCTGTAATCCCAGCACTTTGGGAGGCCGAGATGTGTGGATCACAAGGTCAAGAGATCGAGACCATCCTGGTCAACATGGTGAAACCCCGTCTCTACTAAAAATACAAAACATTAGCTGGGCATGGTGGCACGTGCCTGTAATCCCAGCTACTCAGGAGGTTGAGGCAGGAGAATTGCCTGAACCCAGGAGGCGGAGGTTGCGGTGAGCCGAGATCGCGCCATTGCACTCCAGCCTGGGTAACAAGAGCAAAACTCCATCTCAAAAAAAAAAAAAAAAAAAAAAAAAAAGAGATCGAGACCATCCTGGTCAACATGGTGACACCCCGTCTCTACTAAAAATACAAAACATTAGCTGGGCATGGTGGCGCGTGCCTGTAATCCCAGCTACTCAGGAGGTTGAGGCAGGAGAATTGCCTGAACCCAGGAGGCGGAGGTTGCGGTGAGCCGAGATCGTGCCATTGCACTCCAGCCTGGGTAACAAGAGCGAAACTCCGTCTCAAAAAAACAAACAAACAAACAAACAAACAAACAAACAAACAAAAAGCACCCAAGTTCTCCATCTTCTAGGCCATATGTGTTTCCTTTCACCAAAGGTCTCAGCATTCCACTACTTACTACTCATGGGGGGGTCTTTTCTGTAATACCTGCTTGGAAGCTACTGCCCAGCTCTCCACTATGAATTTGAATCCTTTCCACCTCTGGATTCACCTGCTCTTGGTGCAGCCTCTGAACCTCTTCCAGCTCCCGCTGGCTCCCCTCTTCCAAGTTCTTCCGGACGACCTCAGCCCCAGCCAAAGCAGCACGTAGGCCCTCAGCCTCGGCTCGGCCAGCCTGCTCTGCCCGTGCCAGAGCCTCCAGCTCCATGGCCTGGGCCTCTAGCCTCATCTTCTGCTGCAGCGAGGTCTCTCGCAGGAGCCGGACCTCCTCCTCTAGCCGCCGCAGCTCTTGCAGCTGCCGAGAGATCAGCTCAGCCTGCTGGCTCAGGGCCTGTGACCCCTCCAACTCCCGGCACCTTCAAAGACAGGTTAGCGCAGATGAAACTTGTCTCCAGAGATGGAAGGATAGTTGAGAGCACAAACATAGCTAGGAGAAGCAAAAGAGGGCCCATCTGCACTCGTGTTGGGAGGTGAAGGGGGTGCTGAAGCTGGGGCATGGGGATGTCTGCACTTAACATCATTCATCAAAGCCCTATTGAGCATGTTAAGTCCAGTGCTTGGACTCACAGGACCTAAAGTCTGGCTGAGATCATGAAACATGATCTCTCTAGAGAGCACTACATACAGGCAGATTCGACATCAAATGTGTGTACCATTAGGCCACCACATTCTTTTTGTTTTTTGGTGTTTGTCTTATTTTTTTTTATTTTTATTTTTAGGCAACACATTTTAAGTGGAAAAGTTGGACGAACACACAGAGACTTCTGAATTCTGATTTAAGGGCAAGGAGTTTGAGGGAGGAATGGGCATAAAAAGGTCATGAGCTTCCAGTATCAATATGGTGAGGCCAGGTGCTAGTTAAAGGCATTTATCGAGTGTTAGGTATACTTTATGAGGCGTCTGAGAGAACATTACATAAATAACACAGTGCCAACCTTTGGAGAATATCATCTACCAATGTCACGTAAAGTTTAATCCAGTTTGGAACGTGGTTCCTGAGGCAGCTCTCTCTCTGAGACCCTGGACCACAGGAAATTGTTGTTGTTTTTAGAGACAGGGCATCACTCTGTCACCCAGGCTTCAGTGCAGTGGCTGGATCGTAAGTCACTGCCTCTTTGAACTCCTGAGCTCAAGCAGTCCTACCACCTTAGCCTCCCGAGTCGCTGGGACTACAAATGCAGGCAACCACAGCCAGCTAATTATTTTCTGTGGAGACGGAGTCTTGCTTTGTTGCCCAGGCTGGTCTTGACCTCCTGGGCTCAAGGGATCCTCCTGCCTCAGCTCCCAAAGTGCTAGGATTATAGGTGTGAGCTGCCATACCTGGCTTTTTCTTTCTTCTTCTTCTTCTTTTTTTTTTTTTTTTTTTAAAGTAGCAGGGATCTGTAGTCTAGGGATATTAAGTGACTTGCCAGATGTCCTCTAGCTGGTAGCCAAACTAGAAACAGAGTCTCTGTCTCCTGACACCCAGTTTAGTATTCCTCCTTCTTTATCATGCTGCTGCTCCTAATGTAATCCTATTCTGGAGCAAAATGGCAGAATGATATACTAGTACATCTGGGAAAAGGCACATGAAGCAAGAATGAGAATGTTTACAGACAATGCGACAGACAGCATGGCCAGCTCCCACAGCATGTCCTCTGTAAAGGCTTTCTTCCATCAGAATCAACCCACACTGCCACAGTGCTGGGTCTCTACTTCCAGTTTGCACTTCATCTTGCCTCATGCTGTGCTTTACAATCAGCTGGTGGTCAATCTATCTCCCGTCTTAGGGTTTTAGGTTCCTTATTAATTACAAATTCAAGTCACGTTTGTCTTATTCCCTATTGTTATTCCCATCCCTAGCACCTAGCACCTAGCACATTGCTTTATTATTTATGCACTGTAGGAACTAGTACTTGCTTACATAAAAATGAGTAAGTTATGGAAACACGGGCCAAAACAGGGTAAGATATTCCAGTGAGGAAGGCTCACTAGCAAGTAAGCCGGAGAAAATGGCAAGGATGGATCCCTACCTGCCTCTCCGCCCTGGCTCCTGTCTGTCACTGGAAACATCCCGTTCCCACATCGTCACTTGAGGTCTTTGGGTGTCTGTCCGCCTCTCTGAGACATCTTGATGGCTTGGGGGTTGGACCAGGGGAATGTCTGCGAGCCAGGTGGGAGCCATTTTTGGTAGAGTTGAAACGGGCCGAGCTTGAAAGTGGGAGGGGGGAATCAGCCCAGTGGAACCTGAGGAATTACAGAAGCAAAGATGGTCAGTTTCCCAGGCAGAGGCAACCCCCACTCCCCTTGTCTGGTCCCACTGACCTGAAGGTGGAAACATCTTCATATTATTTGAAGGCTCTAGATTCTGTCCCCAGCCATCTATATTCCCCTAGACAATAGGAGAAACAAGGACACTCCAATTCAATTTTCAGGCCACCTTCCAAAGAGAAATCCCCTACAATAATGAAGTCATAATCCTGGAATTACAGCCAGGTCCACCCGATGCTCCGCTCTTTTCCTACTTCCCCAAAGAAGTAGGAGATACCCCAAATTCACTTGCTTGTCTCAACCTGGTTCCTGGTAGAACCCAGGCAACTAACTACAAAGTGGAGAGAATTTACTGAGAGACCGAGAGGGGGCTCTGAGGCTTTACTCCTACTTTCAGGATTCTGGGCAATGCCTTTACCCTCCTCCTTAAGTTTCTATGGTCCCTGCTGCTCCTGGCCAAAGGTGAGAAAGGAGGTACACAGTGCAGGGGTCTTGAGCGCCATCTCCAGAATTCTCTCCATGGCTCAGCAAGGCCTGGGGGAAGCCCATCCAGATACCACCAGGCCATGACTCTTGGGTCCTTCCCTATTAAAGCGCTGGCCCAAGGCCTGGCCCCAGTTGAATGTGGCCACATGCAGGGTTAGACTCCTCCCCAGGCCCTTGGGAATCCAGGCAGCCTAGATCCCCAGGCAGAAAAGCCAGCTTCCTGACATCTCATCCAAATCTTTCCTGGAGCTGTCCTCTCTGCTTCTCTCTACTATCCCCTCAGCTTCCATGCCTGCCGCCCACCCCCTCTTTCTAGAGTCCTAACACACAGCGGGCACTTTAAGATCTTCCTCCCACCCTCCTACCCTCCCACCCTCATTCATCTATTTGTTACCCAAATCTGGGATTCCTACTCCCGTCCCTTTTTACATCCTAATCTACTTTTTTCTGAAGGAATTATTCTGGTCCTCACCCTCACCCCCATCTCTCAATAGCCTGCTCTCGTCCCCTGCACGCTAGCCCGCTCTGCTCCCCCCAACGCTCCCTCAGATACTCGAGGCTTCACCCTGTTGGCCCCTGAGATCTAAGGCTTTTCTGATCTCCTCATCTGCCCCTTCATCGGGCCCCTGTGCCCCCTTCCCCTCTGGACCCCTTACACCCCCCCAGCACCCTCTCTCGGCCCCTTCCCGCCCCCAACCGACTCTTCCCGAACGTCCCTTACCAACCGCGAGAGCACTCTACTGCGCTTTGGCCACACCCCCGCCACCTCGCTCCAGGCCCCGCCTCTGCATCGACCGCGCCTGCGCAAGTCGGGCTCTCTGAAGCCCCCATTTCACTCAGAGGACAGAAAAGGTGCACGCAGGCGCAATGCCGTCTAAAGCTGGGCTCCTTGCGTCGGAGAATCTCCGCGCCCAGGCGGCTCCTCCCCACTGCGGGAACCCGGGAAAACTTGTGAACTAATCAGAAAAAGCGGAAGGCGGGAGAGCTTGGGGCACCGTCCAATGGCGCGGAAGAGAACAAATGATCTGGCCAATCAGAAACGGCACGGGGGCGGGCTTGCTCGGCGCGAAGTTCGGGCCCGGGAATTCCGAAGGCGGGGTAAGCTGCCAGCGCCCCGAGGCCGCGCCCCTCCAGGCCCCGGCTTCTTGGCTGTCAAACAGCTGCGGAAGTGTTGGCTCCCGCGGAGGAGGCCAGGGGGTCCCGGGACCGCCGCACAGGCTGGCACTACTTGAAGAGGAGGCCACTCAGAGACTGCATCGCACCGGTAGATCCGAAACGCGGCTGAGCCCGAGGGAAAAGGCCGGGTATGCCTTGCATGATCGCGGGAGCGCCTTCCTTTAATCCCGCCTAGAGAAGCCGGGAAACAGGGGTTTAGGTCCAATTTGTTGGAGAACTTAAGGACTTGTTTGCAGTTCCTTTTGGGGGATGACAGTGGATTCATTGCCCTCGGGGGTTCAAACTAGTTATGAGTGAGGGATTGGCCAGAAGATCGCGGCGCAGGCCAGCAGGAGTGCTCTGTTAGGATAAGCAAGTTTGATAGGAAGAAGCTGCTGTTCTCCAAATTACGCAGAGGTGATGTGTTCGTATTGCATGTAGACTGTATAACAGGACCTCCCCGCCCCGCCACCCCAACACACAAAGGAGCTGCCTAAAATATCCTAGCCTTGCAGATTGGAGGTTCTCCAAATATTTTGCGACCTGAGGATCCAGCTCAAGTGAGGTGCCATAGGACGTGTTCCTGAGTTTGCACTGCATGGAGACCTTCCTGGAATCTTTCAGTTGCAAGTCAGCTTCACAACAAATTTTGCCTTGAGTCCTAGGCTGCTTGCAGTCTGAATTTGGACTACTTAGGTCGTGTGCTCAAAGTTGAAACTGCACACAGCACAACTCAAGTTTGCATCAGACTGGGAAGCGAACTTAAGCCAGTGGTGCGTGGCCCAGGAGTGGGAAAGGAAATGGATGCCTGAAGTGGAAGAGGTGGTGCAAAGTGGGCACCACCCATGCTGCCCTGCTTCCAACTGCTGCGCATAGGGGGCGGCAGAGGCGGAGATCTCTACACCTTTCACCCCCCGGCCGGGGCTGGCTGCACCTACCGCTTGGGCCACAGGGCCGACTTGTGTGATGTGGCTCTGCGGCCCCAGCAGGAGCCTGGCCTCATCTCCGGGATCCACGCCGAACTGCATGCCGAACCCCGGGGTGATGACTGGAGGGTCAGCCTGGAAGACCACAGCAGCCAAGGTGAGCAGTAAGCAGGGCAGCTTTGTCCCTGGGTTGTTGAAGTTCCAGGCTGAAATGAGGAAGGGTCTCCACAAGACCCTGCTGCCTGCCTCCCATACTCCTGTCAGATTGGATGGATGGTCATGGTCCAGACCTTCATCTTCCCACCGGAAGTGTGCACAGTCTGCTGTTAAAAGAAAGTCATTGAGGGTGAGGGGATGGGGGAAGAAGTGTGCACAGTCAGAAGCTCTCTGAAAGACTGACCCTTGTGTTGGTCCCGTTTAGCTCATACAAGACCTGGGGTATCATCAGAAACGTGTCACAGCGGGGATGTTCTGGGGCCACTAGAGGCCAAGTTTAGACTTGATTCCGTTTCCAGCTTTGCTGAGGCACTCTGTTCCTGGATTAGGGTAGTTCTATGTTGAATGATGTTTCTAATAATCTGGGCTTGTGTCTTTCTCCTTGACTTGAGGCAGTTAAACCTCAGAAAACCTAGATTCACATTTGAGTTCTGCCACTGGCCCCTGGCAAAACCTCTTCCTCTTGAAGGTCTGCTTTAGGAGTGTTGTGGGTATTAGTAGCCAACATTCATCTAGTGCTTACTGTTGTGAGCCAGGCGCTATTTTAAGTGTTTTGAATGTAAGGGGCACTAATATTATCCTCATTTACAGTAAAGGAAAAGGAGGCACAAAGAGGTTAAGAAACTTGTCCAGGGCTGGACATGGTGGCTCACACCTGTAATCCAGCACTTTGAGAGGCCAAGCTGGGTGGATCACTTGAGCTCAGGAGTTCAATACCATCTTAGGAAACATGGTGAAACTCTGTCTACCAAAAAATTAATTAACTAATTAATTTAAAAAACTAAAGGCTTGCTCAGGGTCACATAGCTTATAAGTGGTAGAGCTAAGATCTGAACAAGTTGGAGCTGGGGGAGAATCAGCATGTTTGAAAATTGGACCTTAGGGGCCAGGCGCAGTGGCTCACACCTGTAATCTCAGCACTTTAGGAGGCCAAGGTAGGCGGATCACCTGAGGTCGGGAGTTCGAGACTAACCTGACCAACATGGAGAAATATATCTTTACTAAAAATGTATCTCTACTAAAAATATAAAAGTAGCCGGGCATGGTGGCGTAGGCCTGTGATCCCAGCTACTCAGGAGGCTGAGGCTGGAGAATTGTTTCAATTTGGGAAGCAGAGGTTGCGGTGAGCTGAGGTAATCTTCAGCCTGGGCAACAGAGCAAGACTTCGTCTCAAAAAACATAAAGGAAGAAAATTGGACCTTAGGAGAGTGAGGACAGAGATCCTTTGTAGGAAAGCACAAGAAATACAGACTCGTTCCCAGCTGACAAGGAGCGTACTGCCTGGTACCTGCCACCGGCTGAGGGGCTTAGGATGTGAGGGAGAATCTGATGACAGTTTTAGGTTCTTCCCCAGAAATCAGACAAGAGCCAGATTTCTCCACGCCTGACTCTGGTTATTTCTGTTTTTGTCCTCCGTATTTGTCTGGTCCCACCATCAACAGGGACTTTGGTCAATAATGTCCGAATCCCAAGAGGTCACAGGCTGGAATTGAGTGATGGAGACCTCCTGACCTTTGGCCCTGAAGGGCCCCCAGGGACCAGCCCCTCGGAGTTCTACTTCATGTTCCAGCAAGTTCGAGTCAAACCTCAGGAGTTTGCTGCCATTACCATCCCACGGTCTAGGGGAGAAGTCCAGGCTGGGGCTGGGGCTTGCTTCCGCCCCATGCTGCCCTCCCTTGGGGCTCCACAGCGGCCTCTTAGCACCTTCTCCTCTACCCCCAAGGCCACACTCATCCTGAACTCCATTGGCAGCCTCAGCAAGCTCCGGTCCCAGCCCCTCACCTTCTCCCCTAGTGGGGGTAGACCAAAGAGCTTGCCTGTTCCCACCCCACCTGGGGAAGTGGGTATCACCCCTTCTGCTCCACCCCCACGCAATCGGAGGAAATCTGCTCACCAAGTGTTAGCAGAACTGGATGAGAGTGAGCCTCCTGAGAGCCCACCACCAGTCCTTATGGAGCCCAGGAAGAAACTCCGTGTAGACAAAGCCCCTCTGACTCCCACTGGGTAAGTGGAGACCTCACTTGGCCCTCTCAGTATTTTACTGCCTTTTGATTCCTTGTATCTCTAGGCTGGGAGGTGGAATAGATGCAGTGGCAAGACCTGGGTTAGCTCTGATAAGAAAACTATGTGCAGGAGAAAATGAGAGGTGGGGTGGGGGCAATGGTTATAACAGCTGGAGTGGACACATCCTACTTTTTATTCATCTAGCTTTAACCCCATTCTTCTAGTGCCTAAGGATGGGTAACTTCCAGGCTCACACTAGAGGATTTTTAGGCCCACCCTATGTGTTTTTAAAGACAGAGTCTGGGCTAACCTTAGTCCTCAGACCACTGTGCCTCTGTGGACTCACCCTGTGACCAGCCATAGGGTGGCAAAGTCTAGGTCATCTCCTACAGTTTTCAAGTGACTCTTGTATTTGTGTTACTTCCTTCAGAAATCGACGTGGCCATCCTCGTCCTCGGAAGTACCCAGCGAGAGACCCCATGGCTCCCCCTGCAGTTGGGGGTGGGGAGCCCTGTGCAGCTCCTTGTTGCTGCCTGCCCCAGGAAGAGACAGTGGCCTGGGTTCAGTGTGATGGCTGTGACCTCTGGTTCCATGTGGCTTGTGTTGGCTGTAGCATCCAGGCTGCCAGGGAGGCTGACTTCCGATGCCCAGGGTGCCGTGCTGGCATCCACACCTAAGGTCAACCACGAAGGTACCCTCGGACACAGCTGCCCATCATTAGACAGCAGTGAGCAAATGGGTCTGATAAATGCTCCCTTCCCTTTCCAGGAGGGAATGACTGCAGGGAAGAAGGGTGGATTGATGTGGACTCATTCAGGGCCTGGAGCAGAGCCTGGTGGCCAAGGTGACAGAAGAAATGGCTTCTTGCCAAAGATATTGCCACCTCCAGGAAATTGCCAGTGAGCTGGAAGTTCCCACTGTTACAAGGCCATGTTGCCACGGACACCAAAATATCTGTAGTCAGAGCACTGATCAGTTGCAAAAGCCATGCCTGCAAATGATGGAAAACTAAGGGAGTTTTTAAAAAATTCTTTCCTGCCGTAAGAGGGAGTTCTTAAGGTTCTTGGTGGCATCACCTAAGGCATTCTGGGAAAACCTAGGGCCTGGCCCCAAAACTTCCCTGCTCTGGCTAGTCCTGCCACTGACTAAATCATAAGTACTGGGCTTTTCAGAGCTTTGCTTTTATTTCCAAGTCAAGGACAAGCAGCTTCATTCACTCCTGGGTATTTACTCTTCTTGTGGGTCTGTGGTATTCCTTGCTTTTCAGGGAGAATGCACTTGGCAAGGTCTGGAGAACTAATTCAGAATCTTAGGGGAAGGGGCGTAGAGAAGAATGGAGAAATACAAACCTACTTACTGGAAAGGTGCAAATATATGGGTTGAGCTGGAGGTAGGAATACAGGTAATTTCCTAGTTTAAGGGAGAACAGATTTACTGCCATTTAACTAAGGTAGCTGGGATCTGGTCAAGTTCACAAAGATAGCATAAGTTTTACAGGCTTCACCTATACCATCAGGGCAAGAGAAAGCCTGGTAAACCAGCTATAGCAGTTTACCAGCATGATGGTTGTGACACAGCTCCACTCCATAGTGGACACAGCAGAGGGCAAGAGGGCTGGCCTGGTCCAGTGTGAATCCAACTGCTTACCCCACATGTGGTACATGTGATTTTCCTTTGTGAGCCTTACACCAAGCCAAGCTATTGTCAAAGCATCATTTGTAAAGAAATAAAGCCTTATGTATTTGGTGAGTCACTTATGGGCAGGGTATGCGAAAACCTTAAGTGGAAACCAGATAGACCCTGGTATCAAGAAAGCACAAAATATTAATAGAAGTTTCCAGTTGGGGTGATTTAAGTACAACAGTAATAAGACTTGATTTTAAGTATAAAGCCATTTAAGAATTCCAGAGTAGGCTGGGCGCGGTGGCTCACGCCTGTAATCCAAGCACTTGAAGTCAAGGCGGGCAGATCACCTGAGGTCAGGAGTTCAAGACCAGCCTGACCAACATGGTGAAACTGTCTTTAAAAAAAAAAAATTTAAAAATTTAAAAAAAAAAAAGAAGAAAAAAGAATTCTAGAGTAGGGTGGGGCAAGCAAAAAGCCCGTTCTGAGCTGGTAACAGCTACATGGTGACTGAGTATGGGCAAAAGTGTGGTACCCAGATCCCATGTCACAGGCGTCCGGGAACTAGCTATAAAGGGGTCCTGTACAGATAAACTTGGTTCCAAGTCCCAGCTCTTCCTCTGACATTGTGTGACCTCAAGGAGTTTAAATGGCACCTTGGTTTCAGGGTCACTTGGGTATGAGCATTGGATATTCCCATCCCCACCTCAGTAACTAAAGGAGGCCAAACCAAGATAAATGCATCTATCTACTGTGTCCCAGGCTTCTTTATTTAAGAAAAAAGTGATACATGTGGGGATTAAAATCAAGAGCATCATTGAACTTCACCTTCCCTCTAACAAGTTGCCCCAAACTCCCCTGCCCTCACCCTTTGTGTTCCCAATCCCTTCCTTAGTGAATGAAGAACTTAATCCTAAAAGCCCTGGCACTAACTCCATGTTCTCTTTCCCTAGCTTCTCTCTCCCTGTCCCCATTCCTAGAAGGACAGGCACCTCAGTTGGAATGCATGGGAGAACCCAGAGTGGGGACAGAGACAGGGGGGAAGGCTTCCCCCTCAGGGAAAGGGACCGAGGAGTACAGTGCAGTGAAATGAGGGCTCCCGTAGCCTGGGGTACCAAAATGGGGCCCTGGGGCCAGAGGAAAGGACACTGGTCCCCCCGAGAAAGGAGACCCAGCAGCCTCAAAATCCTCTCGTTGTGCATAGTCACTGCTTGATCGCTTGCCCTTCTGGCGCCGGTTACAGAACCACACACGGACCACCTGCGAGTGGACAACACAGAGAAGAGTGACATTAGATAATGAGCGGAGACGGGCCTGACCCTACCGGGTCATTCTGCCCAAAGCCAACAGCCCTAGAGTGGTTGGAGGAGGAGCCAGAGCTAGGGAAAGCAGAGGTGGTGACAGAGGAAAGAGATGGAGCCCGTGGAGAGGCTTGTCACTCACATCCTTCTCAAGCCCAAGCTGCTGGGCGATGTGGCTGATCTGCTGAAGTGTGGGTTTAGGGCACTGCAGGAACAAATTCTCCAGGTTGCCTCTCACTCGGTTCTCAATACTGGTTCGCTTTCTCTTTCGGGCCTGCACGAGGGTTTCTGCTTTGCATATCTGTGCAGGTGGGAAGCAGGTACAAGGGCAAGCTTTGGACTTGCTGAGTAATAGCATCTCCGGGGTCTGTGACTAGATGTGTCAGCAGAGCCAGGTGGTGTGTAAAGGCAGGATCCTGGAAAGGTTGACTCTGGACCTTCTCCAAGCAGAAGGGAGGCATTTTACTCCATCCCACTGAGAACTACTGCACCAAAGAGGAAGAGCCACGATCCAGGAATGGTAGCAATGGAAACTGGGCCAAGAAAGGGAAGGTCCTTATGTATCCCCCTCCCACCCTTACCTCCTGAAGATTTTCATTGTTATCAGCTTCCTCCACCCACTTCTGCAGTAAAGGCCGAAGCTTACACATGTTCTTGAAGCTAAGCTGCAGAGCCTCAAAGCGGCAGATGGTCGTTTGGCTGAATACCTTTCCTGGGGGAGGCAGGTCAAAAGAGAAGCAAAGTGAGGGAACACGCAGGTCCCTTGTTGACTCCAAGATCCAGACTTCCCATCTCTTCCCAGAGGGAAGCTCAAAGCCCAAGCATCTCCCTCTCCCCTTCTCTTGATGGGTGACACTAGAGTCTGCCCCGCTCCTCCCCCACTCCCTTGATAGGGAGGAAAGTCCTAGGATCAGGAATGTTCGTTAGAGGGGATATGTGGTCAGAACATGCTGAGTGGAACCCACCAAACAGAACCCCCAGGGTGAGCCCCACATCGGCCTGTGTATATCCCAGGGTGATCCTCTTCTGCTTTAGGAGCTTGGCAAATTGCTCGAGTTCTTTCTGCAGAGCTTTGATGTCCTGGGACTGGATTTTAAAAGACAGAAGACATGTAAGAACATAAACATACCAGTTATCAATCCCCTTTCCATTTGGGATTCAAGAATGTGCCCGGCCCCTAGGAATGCTCTGTAGGAGTGCCTCTGCCTCCCAAGCTGCCCAGCTAACTTCTAGAAATAAGGCATCCACAAATGTCATTAATCATTCCCTGTTCATTGACTCATGCCTGTAACAAGGGACTGTTCTTCCCCCAGAAACTGGTACATCCAGGGGATGCAGAGCACTGTGAAAGGACGGAAACACCAGTCAGGTATTTAAGGTTAGTAAGCTCCCACCTGACTAGCTCATTTGATACTTGCAAAAGTCTCTTTCAGTTCAGTATTACCCCCAGTGTAAGGACCTTTTAAGACTAGAGAGATAGATAAGCTGCTAAGTTCTGGGTTAATTAAAAAGAAAGAGCATCGTGTCTCTGAAGCTGAATTCAATTTGCTCTCCGCAGCTTGCTTTGGGGGTCCCACACACTGTGACATGGCATGCATATGCCCAAACAGCAATAAAGGAACAGGTGTCAGCAGAACGAATAAAACGCTTTGTGTGTACTTTTTTTTTTTTTTTTTTTTTTTTTGAGACGGAGTTTCGCTCTTGTTACCCAGGCTGGAATGCAATGGCGCGATCTCGGCTCACCGCAACCTCCGCCTCCTGGGTTCAGGCAATTCTCCTGTCTCAGCCTCCTGAGTAGCTGGGATTATAGGCACGCGCCACCATGCCCAGCTAATTTTTTTGTATTTTTAGTAGAGATGGGGTTTCACCATGTTGACCAGGTTGGTCTCGATCTCTCGACCTTGTGATCCACCCGCCTCGGCCTCCCAAAGTGCTGGGATTACAGGCTTGAGCCACCGCGCCCGGCCGCTTTGTGTGTACTTAATGCTCATTTAAAAAATTGATTATCCTTCATTTTTACTGTTATCTTTTTTACTATAGAGGCATCCTCATTGATTTTTAAATTCAACAGATTTATCAAGCACCTTCTATAAGCCAGCGGCTATACACAGTGGACAAAGAGCCCTGACATCCAGCATGACAGAGCGCTGTTTGGCACTTGTTCAAGTCGTCCACCTGCATCTCTTCCAAGTGCATTTTCCTTTTCTTTCCTGCTCTAAAGCTCATATATATATATATATATATATATATATATATATACACACACACACACACACACACACACACACACACATATATGTTTTATTTTAAATAATTTTTTTTTCTTTTCTAAAGATGAGTTTTCACCATGATGGCCAGGCTGGTCTTGAACCCCTGACGTCAGGTGATCCACCCACCTTGGCCTCCCAAAGTGCTAGGATTACAGGCGTGAGCCACTGCGCCCGGCTCTAAAGCTTTTTTTTCTTTCTTTTTTTTTTTTGAGACAGAGTTTCGCCCTTGTTACCCAGGCTGGAGTGCAATGGCACGATCTCGGCTCACCGCAACCTCCGCCTCCTGGGTTCAGGCAATTCTCCTGCCTCAGCCTCCGGAGTAGCTGGGATTACAGGCACGCGCCACCATGCCCAGCTAATTTTTTGCACCATTAGTAGAGACGGGGTTTCACCATCTTGACCAGGATGGTCTCGATCTCTTGACCTCGTGATCCACCCGCCTCGGCGTCCCAAAGTGCTGGGATTATAGGCTTGAGCCACCACGCCCGGCCAGCTTTTTAATAATAAACTTCTGCTCTTTCCCTAAGCGGTCTGAGGTAATCTGTGAAAATGGTTCCCTCTTCACTTGACCCAGAGAACCCCACAAAATCATGCAAATCTAGAGGTTCCAATCTTTGTGTTAACTATTTTATTTTAATTAATTAATTAATTATTAAAGATGTGGTTTCACCATGATGGCCAGGCTGGTCTTGAACGCCTGACCTCAGGTGATCCACCCACCTCAGCCTCTCAAAGTGCTAGGATTACAGGTGTGAGCCACTGTGCCCGGCTTCCTCATGTTAACTTTAAGAACACTTGTGGAACTGCCCAGGCCATCAAGGGTGTGCATATGTGAAAAGCCATGAAGTATCTGAAAGATGTCATTTTACACAAACAGTACGTAGCATTCCAATGTTACAATGGTGGAGTTGGCAGGTGTGCCCAGGCCAAGCCGTGGGGCTGGACACAAGGTCCGTGGCCCAAAAAGAGTGCTGAAATTTTGCTGCGCATGCTTAAAAATGTGGAGAGTAATGCTGAACTTAAGGGTTTAGATATAGACTCTCTGGCCATTGAGCATATCCAAGGGAACGAAGCACCTAAGACAGGCCGCTGGACCTACAGACCTACAGAGCTCATGGTCGGATTAACCCATGCATGAGCTCTCCCTGCCACATTGAGATGATCCTTCCTGAAGAGGAACAGATTGTTCCTAAACCAGAAGAGGAGATTGCCCAGAAGAAACTGAACAAACAAAAACTCATGGCACAGAGTAAATTCAGCATTAAAATAAATGCAATTGGCCGGGCGCGGTGGCTCAAGCCTGTAATCCCAGCACTTTGGGAGGCCGAGGCGGGTGGATCACGAGGTCAAGAGATCGAGACCATCCCGGTCAACATAGTGAAACCCCGTCTCTACTAAAAATACAAAAAATTAGCTGGGCATAGTGGCACGTGCCTATAATCCCAGCTACTCGGGAGGCTGAGGCAGGAGAATTGCCTGAACCCAGGAGGCGGAGGTTGCGGTGAGCCGAGATCGCGCCATTGCACTCCAGCCTGGGTAACAAGAGCGAAACTCCGTCTCAAAAAAAAAAAAAAAAAAAAATGCAATTAAAAGGAAAATAATAATAATAATAAACTTCCACTCCTGCTCTGAAAAATAAAAAAGTAAATAAAAAGTGGCCAGACACAATGGCTCATATTTGTAATCCTAGCACTTTGGAAGGACCCAAGCAGGCAGATTGCTTGAGCCCAGCCTGGGTAACATAGTGAGACCTGTGCTGCCTCCTCCCTCTGTGCTATGGAAAAAGGTAAAGTAGGCAGGGTGCGGTGGCTCATGCCTGTAATCCCTGCACTTTTGGAGGCTTAGATGGGTAAATCACTTGAGGTCAGGAGTTCAAGACCAGCCTGGCCAACATGGCAAAACCTCGTCTCTACTAAAAACACAAAAATTAGCCAGGCATCGTGGCACAGGCCTGTAATCCCAGCTCCTTGGGAGTCTGAGGCAGGAGAATTGTTTGAACCCAGGAGGTGGAGGTTGCAGTGAGCCGAGATCATGTCACTGCACTCCAGCCTGAGGGACAGAGTGACACTTCATCTCAAAAAAAAAAAAAAAAAAAAGTAAAGGGGCCAGGCGCGGTGGCTCAAGCCTGTAATCCCAGCACTTTGGGAGGCCGAGGCAGGTGGATCACGAGGTCAAGAGATTGAGACCATCCTGGTCAACAAGGTGAAACCCCATCCCTACTAAAAATACAAAAACTTAGGTGGGCATGGTGGTACGTGCCTGTAATCCCAGCTACTTGGGAGGCTGAGGCAGGAGAATTGCCTGAACCCAGGAGGCGGAGGTTGCGGTGAGCCGAGATCGCACCATTGCACTCCAGCCTAGGTAATGAGTGAAACTCCATCTCAAAAAAAAAAAAAAAATAAAGCAGTCTCAGGGAATGGAGTAAAGGAGGTAAGGAGATTATGTAGGAGGGAGGATGGCAATTTTAAAGACGGAAAAGGTGATTACTTAAGCAAAGGACTAGAGTCTAGTGGCAAGGCCCTGAAGTGGGCCTGCAGGAGCCCAAAGCTGGTTCTGCGGCTGGGCAGATCCTGTTGGCGGACTTAGTGACTTTGGTTTAGTCCAAGCGAAATGATCTCTCACGGTTTTTTTTTTGAGACAATCTCTTTCTGTCGCCCAAGCTGTGGAGTGCAGTGGCTTGATCTCAGCTCACTTCAATCTCTAACTCCTGGGTTTAAGCTATTCTGCCTCAGCTGCCCAAGTAAGCTGGGACTACAAGCACCTGCGGTCATGCCTGGCTAATTTTTGTATTTTTAGTAGAAATGGGGTTTCACCATGTTGGCCAGGCTGGTCTTGAACTTCTGACCTTAAGTGATCTGCCCACCTCAGCCTCCCAAAGTGCTGGGATTACAGGCGTGAGCCACCGCGCCCAGCCTCACCTTTTAAAACACTGACTTTAAGGCCAGGTGTGGTGGCTCATACCTGTAATCTCAGTACTTTGGGAGGCCAAGGCAGGTGGATAACACGGTCAGAAGTTTGAGACCAGCTTTAACCTGGTCAATACGGTGAAACCCCGTCTCTACTAAAAATACAAAAAATTAGCTGGGCATGGTTATGGATGCCTGACATCCCAGCTACTCGAGAAGCTGAGGCAGGAAAATCGTTTGAACCCAGGAGGCGGAGGTTGCAGTGAGCCGAAATCACGCCACTGCACTCCAGCCTGGCAACAAAGCGAGACTCAGTCTCCTAAATAAATAAATAAATAAAAAACACTGACTCAGACATGTTGGCCACAGACAGTGGGGAGGAAGCAGTATAATTCAAGAAGCTACTGCAGTAATCCCGGCAGAGATGATGGGAGCCCGGGGTTAGGTTGTGATTGATTCAGGATGTTTCTTAAGGATAGGACGTAGGACAGGAAAGAAACTGAGGATGACTGGGCTTGGCCTTGAGCAACTGGGAGATTGGGGTGGAGAGGCTGAGGGAGCCAACACCGGAGACAGAAAATGAGGTAGTTATCTGGTGTCTAAATGGCATTTAAGCCTTGAGGGTGGGTGACAGGAAGGAAAGGTAGATAGGGCAGAGGTTGAAGGACTGAGCCCTGGGGCAGCCAGTGAGGCTGCTGGGGGACAAACGAGCACAGCTAGTAAGAAAAAAACAATGTCTTTGTGTAGTCCTGAGGCCTCAAGGAAGTGTTTCAATGGTGCTCAATCATATCAATTTCAAATGGGCTGATTTTCATTCCCAACTTCTGCTCAAGCCAGTAACTCAAACCTGCCCTCTGCTACCTTGGATTTTCCAAATTATGTTCTGGGGATTTGAAATAAAGTAAACACCGGTCCAAATCCTTGTTTCATCATTTAGCAGTTAAGACCCGTTAAATAGGATAATAATACCTCCCCCTAGGAGATTTTGTGCTGGTTAATGAGATAATGATGTATAAACGGAGCACACAGCCAGGCACTTAGTTAGTGGACTGCAATTGGCAGCCATTATCATTCAAGGCCCAGCAGTGACCTCCTGCAAAGAGGTTGGGGCTTCTCGGTCACTCCTGAAACCAGTCACACCTTTCTGTGAGGTCTCAAGGCTTAGTACTTGATTTCCAACTGCTTACACTTGTCGCCTTGGAGGACTGGAAGGTACATCTTTAATACGCCTCAGCAGGGCTGGATGTCTTCAATCCCTCAGCAGCTCTAAATTTGAGGAATGGCCTGGAGAAATCTCTCACCATTTTTTCTTGTTTACAACTTACGAAATCAATCAAAATCCAGCTCTCTACAAGGGATACCAGGGTGTGCACCTTAAACAGTGGTGAGTCACAGGCCTGAGGCAAGCAGAGGTCAAGGGAAGACAAGCCCTACACTGGACTGGAAGTAAACTCAGGGCCACACGTGCACGCACACGCAGCCCAAACAGGAGCTCCTATCAGAAACCAGTCACACCCTAGACTTTCAGGAACAAAACCCCGGGACAATCACTGTTTTTACCCTCAGGACATACTTAACCCTAAGGCCAAGATTTTGGGCCCGATAAGGGTCAAATTTTCAGGCAGGACTAAGGTTTCGAGAAGAGGCTCAAACCAATCCCAAGCTGAGTGCTGGGCCAGTCATGAGTGACCTGACCCTGGCCAGGCCTAGGAAATGAGAGCGACCCTGACAAGAGCAAAGGCCAGCCTGGGCCAGCTTCTGACTCCCCCAGGCCTCCCGGCCCTCACCTGCGGTTGTCTCTTCAAATTCCAGCTTCCAGTTCCCACCTGGCCCCCTGCCTCCCAGGGCTGCCTGCAGTCGATACACACCCCTGCTTGCCTGGGGCAGCCGCCCCTGCCTGCTCCTCTTCTAGGTTCCAGGTCTGGGCAGCTGCAGGTGACCACTTCCCACTCAGGCTGCCCTGCCATGACCACCTTCCCCACATCCCACCCCCGTCAAAGCTCACTTGCCTCCTCCGGGTTTTGTTCCAGCTTCTCCTTCTCCAGCTTCACGGCACCAGGGGGGATGGTGCAGGGCTCCGGGGAGGGCCCCTCGGAGTTGCTCTCCACCCCGGCTCCTGCTTCGCCCTCCGGCTGCGAGGTCTCCAAGCCGCCTTGGGGCACTAGCCCCACTCCAACCTGAGGCCCACAGTATGCCATCCCCCCACAGAACTCATACGGTGGGGGGCACGGGGGAATCCCCCACACCTCAGAGCCTGGCCCAACCCCTGGCCCGATTCCTGGCCCTCCAGGAGGACCCTGGAAGCTTAGCCAGGTCCGAGGATCAACCCAGCCCGTCTCCGGCCCCCCTGGCCCATCACCTCCACCACCTGGAGGAGGCGAGAAGGCGAAATCCGAAGCCAGGTGTCCCGCCATGGGGAAGGAAGGCGCCCCAAGCCGGGGGCCTGGTGAAATGAGGGATTGCCAAGGGACTGCTCAACCCCTCTCTCCCTCCCCAATCCCACCCACTAGCCTTGACCTCTGGCCCCGCCCCCTGGATGGGTGGAGGAGAGGGAGGTGGGGGGGAGAAACTGAGGCGAAGGGTGTTTGCCTAAGGGTGGTGGCAGTGGTGTCTGTGGAAGGGGAAAACCGGGAGACACAACTGGGTGCCCCTCCAGGACCTCGGTGCAGGTCCCCACAGAAACTTTTTTTTTTTTTTTCCCCTTTTTTTAAAAGACAGGGTCTCACTTTGTTGCCCAGGCTGGAGTACAGTGTTTTATCACATGGCTCATTGCAACCTCTATCTACTGGGCTGAAGCAATCCTTCTGCCTCCGCCCTCTGAGTGGCTGGGAAAATTTTCAAGTAGCACTTGAAAATAAAAATAATTTTTTTTTTTTTTTTTGAGACGGAGTTTCGCTCTTGTTACCCAGGCTGGAGTGCAATGGCGCGATCTCGGCTCACCGCAACATCCGCCTCCTGGGTTCAAGCAATTCTCCTGCCTCAGCCTCCTGAGTAGCTGGGATTACAGGCACGTGCCACCATGCCCAGCTAGTTTTTTTGTATCTTTAGTAGAGAAGGGGTTTCACCATGTTGACCAGGATGGTCTCGATCTCTTGACCTCGTGATCCACCCGCCTCAGCCTCCCAAAGTGCTGGGATTACAGGCTTGAGCCACCGCGCCCGGCCAATTTTTTTTTTTTTTTTTTTTTTTTTTTGAGACGGAGTTTCGCTCTTGTTACCCAGGCTGGAGTGCAATGGCGAGATCTCGGCTCACCGCAACCTCCGCCTCCTGGGTTCAGGCAATTCTCCTGCCTCAGCCTCCTGAGTAGCTTGGATTACAGGCACGCACCACCATGCCCAGCTAATTTTTTGTATTTTTAGTAGAGACGGGGTTTCACTATGTTGACCAGGATGGTCTCGATCTCTTGACCTCGCGATCCACCCGCCTCAGCCTCCCAAAGTGCTGGGATCACAGGCTTGAGCCACGGCACCTGGCCTAAAAATAATTTTTTTTATTTTTAGTAGAGAAGGGAGTCTTATGTTATCCAGGCTGGTCTTGAACTCCTGTTCTCAAGCGATGCTCCCGCCTCTGCCTCCCAAAGTGTCAGGATTGTGGGCCACCACACCCAACTTTAAACTCCCAACAGGCTCCCGGGCACTCTCTTAAGCTCTGTTCACCCCACCTGTCTGGTATCCCTCCTACATCCTCCAGGTTCTTCAGGAACCCAGCTGCCTGACCCCCTCTCCAAAGACCTCTGGCACTGTCCTTTCACTGAGACCCAGTCACCCTCTCGGCTCCTCACATTTACTGAACGTGTGCGTGAGGCTATCCTTCAATGCATCAGTAGCCATAAGCATCCTGGCCAGCTGCTCCCTTATGCCCTCTCCCAGAACCCTAGGCATTCCCTTCCAGATACTGGCCAAACCCAGCCACCCCGAAGCCTGGGTGCCCGGCACCATCTGCCCAGCCTGCCAAATTCCACCCCATCTTCAAGAGTAGACTGCCAGACAAGGCCTCTATGCGGTATCCCCGTCTTCCAGAATCAGACTCCGGAGTCTCCTCATCTAACAGACTGAGGAGTTGGCCCCTACTTCCCCTTCAAGAGACCAGGCTTTGGACTGACTGGGCCTGAGTTTCCCAACCTTCGTTCAAACAGCAGGATCAGACACCCGCTCCGGGCCCCCTCCACTGCAGAACCTTGCTCCCCTCTCGACCAAAACTCAGACATCTAATACCACAGTGGCTCCTAAAATACCTTCTCCCTCCCCCACCTCCCCGGCCCAGGCCTCTAGCCCTAGGCCCTGGGTGGGGAAAACCAAGGGATTGGGGTATAGAGAAAAAAAAAATATCTGACTTCAGGTTCAAAGAAGCCTGGGAGGGACTGGGGGAAGGGGGCAGGACAATGGCCTTGGCTGGACAATCCCGGTCCCCAGAGGGGGCAGCTCTAACCCTAAACAAGTGCTCAACCCTTGAATGGGCCTGGATGGCTCCCCTGGGGACTGCTTCCTGCTCCCCAACCCCCCAGTCCCCATCCCCTCACACAGAATCCCCTTCAGAGACACTAAAAGGAGCTCCAGCAACCCCCTTCTGCAATCCCCTCAAAGACTGAGCCTCAGACGGGCACCAAGGGCCCCCCACAGGGACCTAGGTATCTAGTTCCTCCTTCCTCTGGGGGACTCAGGCGTCCAGCCTCATCGTGCATTCCTCACCCAGCCCCCCAGATTGAGTGATGTGCTTCCTTTAGTGGGGCTGGCTGGCAGAAAGATGCAGAGGAGGTGGAGGGGTGAGGAAGGCTGCCCGAAGCTCCCCCTCAGGGTCTGTTTTTCTGGGTCTGGCCTGAGTAACCTGAGGCTCATGCTGCTGGCCTAGTGCTTGATTCTGTTTGCAAGAGAATAGCACCAAGGAATGCCTGTCTGTGAGTGTTGATGTTTGTCTGTCTGCTCCCAAAACGCTCGCAGTGGAGGGCCTGGGGTAAGTCTGGGGGCTCCTACAGCTTCGAAGGCCAGGTCCGCGCTGGGCACACTGACCTCTGTCCACTTAAGGCTTCCAGGCTCGGCCCTGCCTGGGCTTGTCTGCTGGGGTCAGCGGCTCTGTCTGCCTTCTGAGGGGCTGGGTGTCCCGTGGCCAGCTGTCTTCATCTTGGTGGCATCTGTGAGTCTTTTGACCCTGTTATGCACCCATCTCCTGTCTGTAGACTTTTTGAGCCTAATTGCATACGTGCATTTCAATACCTGCCATAGGTCTGCCTGAAGGTCTACAAGGCAGTGGGGCTGGAGCTGTGTTCATCTCTCAGCCTCTACTGCTCAAAAGGCAGGTAGCTTATGGGGCCTACGTGGGGGTGGGAGGAACAGGCTTCAGAACAGGAGGGGGCCCCTGCCCAGCCATCTCAACCCCCAGGACACAGCCATTCACGGCACCTTTGTCATGCATCTCTCTGCTGTCTGCCAAGAAGACAGTCTCCCAGAGGAGGGGGAGGAGCAGGCCTGGGATTTGGCTGGAATCTCCCCACCAGTTTCTCAGCTTGCCATCGTCCAGGTTCCCCAAAACCGCTCTCCCCAAGCCAGTCAAGAGTGTCCCTGCTGCCTATTTTCCTAGTGGCTCCTAAAACACCTTCCCCGATTTCCCCACTCAACACCACCCTCGTTTTTAAATTACAATTTGTACTGTAGGTGATGTGTTTCTGGCCTGGGCCATAGGCCTATTCCCGAGAGGGACGCAGACAAGGGCTGGGTGCCTGGGTCCCTGGCTGCCTTGTGGCTGGATATGAGCCTGGTCAGCCTCCTGCATGCCTGGAGTCCTAGCCGGCCCCCTGCTGGGGAGCTAAGGGCTGATCGCAGGTTGGGGTGTGTTCCTTCCTTCTCACTGTCCTGTTACGTCTGAAGGGTAGGAGGTTTCACTTCTGCTAAGGCCAGCTTTCTGAGGCCCTGACCAGTGCTGGGGGCCACCCCTGGGCCCGGAGGAGACTGGAAGTCAGGGCGATTCATCAGAACTGTTCCCATGACTCCCTGGGTCTTAGAAAGTCACCATAAACAGATACTTCACACACACACCTTTATTTTTTTCTAATTTTAAAAAAATTTTTGACATAGAGTGTCACTCTGTCACCCAGGCTGGAGTGCAGTGCCTTAATCTCGGCTCAGGCAACCTCTCCCTCCTGGGTTCAAGCAATTCTGTCTCAGCCTCCTGAGCAGCTGGGATTACAACCACGCGCCACCAAGCCCAGCTAATTTTTTTTTTTTTTTTTTTTTTGAGACCGAGTTTCACCCTTGTTACCCAAGCTGGAGTGCAATGGCGCGATCTCGGCTCACCGCAACCTCCGCCTCCTGGGCTCAGGCAATTCTCCTGCCTCAGCCTCCTGAGTAGCTGGGATTACAGGCATATGCCACCATGCCCAGCTAATTTTTTTGTATTTTTAGTAGAGACAGGGTTTCACCATGTTGACCGGGATGGTCTCGGTCTCTTGACCTTGTGATCCACCCGCCTCGGCCTCCCAAAGTGCTGGGATTACAGGCTTGAGCCACCGCGCCCGGCTCCAGCTAATTTTTTGTATTTTTAGTGGAGACGGGATTTCACCATGTTGGCCAGGCTGGTCTCGAACTCATGATCTGCCTGCCTCGGCCTCCCAAAGAGCTGGGATTACAGGCATGAGCCACCACACCCAACCACGCACACGTTTATTATTGCAGGGCAATGTCAAGACTCGACCCAGATGAGGTACACCTCTCCCCACCAGGTGTGGCGGCCGGCATGGCTGGGTGGGGAGAATTGAAAGGAGCAGACTTGCTGCTGTCAGCTCAGCCTTCCTTCCCCTCACTCAGAGATGGGGTGCTGTTTGGTTGAAAAACCAGCTGAAAAAACTCAGTTGGGCCCAATGGAGACTTCTCGACCAGGTCTAGAAAACGACTTATTTTGACATCTGAGGCTTGTCTATCTGAAGGCAAAAGAAAGGGAAGAAATGGAGGACTGAGTGAGGGTTCAGGCTTGGCCCACCTTGGGAGATGATCCCCCTTAACACCAATTTAGACAGATTCCTTTGCTCACTGTGGACCAAATCCCCTCTTCTCAACAATGGACCCTCTGATCTCCCCCATGAGATGTGCAAAGTGAGGTCGTCTTTTTTTTTTTTTTTTTTAATTAAGACAGGGTTTCACCATGTTGGCCAGGTTGGTCTTGAACTCCTGACCTCAGGTGATCCACCCACCTTGGCCTCCCAAAGTGCCGAGATTATAGGCGTGAGCCACTGCACCCGGCCCTGAGGTCGTCTTATCCCAAAGACAGGCTTACCTCAAACAGAGGAATCAGCTCTCTGGTTGTAGCCTGCAGGGAGTCAAAAGTGAGAGCAAGAGATGGGTGAGCTGGGAAAAGCTGGGAACAAACTAGGAGGCCAAGGATCATGTTCTAAGTCCTGGCTCTGATTCCCTGGCTAATGGCACCTCCCCCTTCTGTGCCTCAGTTTCCTTACCTAGTAAAGAGGATTTGAACTAAATGAACTTTAAATTTCCTTCCAACTCAGACAAAAATTGTTGCCCCCTCGCCTATGCCCTCCCATCTACCCAGCCCACTTACTCGACATGGGAATGTAGACGTCTCTCTGGACACCTGTGAAAATAAATGGGGGTGGGAGAGGTGGGAGAGCTGTTCGATGAGATTTTGGCACAGACCTCCCTGTACCCACCACCTACCTCCAAGCAGCCTTCCTGGGAAATCTCAGAAGTTTCCCCCTGAAGTTTGATCAAGAGATACAGGAGAGCCGGGCGCGGTGGCTCAAGCCTGTAATCCCAGCACTTTGGGAGGCCGAGGCGGGTGGATCACGAGCTCGAGAGATTGAGACCATCCTGGTCAACATGGTGAAACCCCGTCTCTGCTAAAAGTGCAAAAAATTAGCTGGGCATGGTGGCGCATGCCTGTAATCCCAGCTACTCAGGAGGCTGAGGCAGGAGAATTGCCTGAGCCCAGGAGGCGGAGGTTGCGGTGAGCCCAGATCGCGCCATTGCACTCCAGCCTGGGTAACAAGGGCGAAACTCCGTCTCAAAAAAAAAAAAAAAAAAGAGAGATACAGGAGAAGGCCAGGCTGGGAGTGGTGGCTCATGCCTATAATCCTAGCACTTTGGAGGCTGAGGTAGGCAGATCACTTGAGGTCAGGAGTTTGAGACCAGCCTGGCCAACATGGTGAAACCCCAACTCTACTAAAAATACAAAAAAATAGTTGTACTTTTTTGCATGTGGTGGTGCATGCCTGTAATCCTAACTACGCAGGAGGCTGAGGCAAAAGAATCACTTGAACCCAGGCAGCAGAGGTTGCAGTGAGCTGAGATCGAGCCACTGCACTCCAGTCTGGGCAACAGAACAAGACTCTACCAAAAAAAAAAAAAAAAATGCTGGCTGGTCTCAGTGGCCCACACCTGTAACCCCAGCACTTGGGGAGACCAAGGCAGGCGGATCATGAGGTCAGGAGATAGAGACCATCCTGGCCAACATGGTGAAACCCTGTCTCTAAAAAAAAAATAAAAATTAAAATTAAAAAAAAAAAAAAAAAGAGATAGGAGGGGTTTGGGAGCCTGGTTTTGATTTGGTTTTCATTGCTTCGTTGTTTATAAGAAACATACTTCAGGGCCGGGTGCCACCGGGGGCTCACGCCTGTAATCCTAGCACTTTGGGAGGCCAAGGTGGATGGATCACCTGAGGTCAGGAGTTCAAGACCAGCCTGGCCATCATGGTGAAACCCCATCTTTAAAAAAAAAAAAGGCCGGGCGCGGTGGCGCAAGCCTGTAATCCCAGCACTTTGGGAGGCCGAGGCAGGTGGATCACAAGGTCGAAAGATCGAGACCATCCTGGTCAACATGGTGAAACTCCGTCTCTACTAAAAATACAAAAAATTAGCTGGGCATGGTGGCGCGTGCCTATAATCCCAGCTACTCAGGAGGTTGAGGCTGGAGAATTGCCTGAACCCAGGAGGCGGAGGTTGCGGTGAGCCGAGATGGCGCCATTGCGCTCCAGCCTGGGTAACAAGAGCGAAACTCCGTCTCAAAAAAAAAAAAAAAAAAAGAAACATACTTCAGGCTGAGCATGGTGGCTGTAATTCCTGTAAAGTAATATAATCCTAGCACTTTGGGAGGCTGAGGGGGGTGGATCATGAGGTCGGGAGTTCGAGATGAGCCTGGCCACCATGGTGAAACCCCATCTCTACTAAAAATACAAAAATTGATCAGCCATCTCGTGTGACATTCATGTAAAAAAAAAAAAAAGAAAGAAAAAGAAAAAAGAAAAAAAATACAAAAATTATCCAGGCATGGTGGCGGGTGCCTGTAATCTTAGCTACTCGGGAGGCTGAGGCAGGAGAATCACCTGAACCCAGGACGGGGAGGTTGCAGTGAGGCGAGATCATGCCATTGCACTCCAGCCTGGGTGACAGAGTGAGGCTGTGTCTCAAAAAAAAAGAAAAAAGAAAATAAAAGAAACATATTTCAGGAGGCAAAACTTCTCATGGGTAAGATGGGGGAGGAAGGAGACGGAGAGAGAGAGACAAAGACAAAGATGAAGAGAATGTGTGTATACATTGGGAGGAGGCAACCCAGGTCAGCTAGAGAGGAAACAGGACCACTAACCCACTCCCTTCTCTGTTCATATTCCCTAGGCTGCTCTTCTTTTTTTTTTTTTGAGACGGAGTTCTGCTCGTTACCCAGGCTGGAGTGCAATGGCGCAATCTCGGCTCACCGCAACCTCCGCCTCCTGGGTTCAGGCAATTCTCCTGCCTCAACCTCCTGAGTAGCTGGCATTACAGGCATGCGCCACCATGCCCAGCTCATGTTTTGTATTTTTAGTAGAGACGGGGTTTCACCATGTTGACCAGGATAGTCTCGATCTCTTGACCTCGTGATCCACCCGCCTCGGCCTCCCAAAGTACTGGGATTACAGGCGTGAGCCACCGTGCCCGGCTTACGCTGCTCTTCTTGAAATTTCTTTTCTTGAACCTCAGTCTCCCAGAGAGAGAGATGTCCAATAATGTTTAAGGTTGCTTCCAGCTCTAATATACAGAGCATACCTGCTGTCCTGCCCTTTCTCCACTTCTTCCAGAGGAAGGCACCGGCAGCTCCCACAGCAACCACTGCAGAAGCCAGGAGCCCACAGAAGATCCAGACTGGGGGGTGTTTTGTGTGGGGAGGCTCTGAAAGGTAAGAGGGTATGTGGGTCTCTGTCAGACCAGCTGTGCTCCCTACCTTTGTTGCATGCCTCTGAACCCCAGCTGCTCATCTAAGCTTACACAGAGGCTCAGCATCAGTCTGGCATATCACCAGACAGGAGAGCCTATGCTCATATCAAAGGGATGGCAGCAGACTGCTGGCTCTGAGCAGCACCATACCCCCAGGGGCAAGTGTCTTAGGGCCCCAGGGACTCGGGGGCTGGGGCAGCCCATCCCTCCGCTAAGTTAGCTGAACACTGGAGGACAGAAGTCAAAGGCCTAGCATGTTGGGACGGGCTCCTCTCCAGGGTCTTTGCAGAGAGTCCCATGCACCAAGGGGACTGGTGGGACAGGGAAAAGTGGCAAAGGAGACCTCAAGACCTCCTAGACAAACTGGCTGCCTGTGGTCTTATCAAGCTGCCGTACATCCTCCACACCAGGGTCGGGGCCACCATTAGGCACCATTCCACTGTGTTCCACGGTGACTGTAGGTGATGCCCCACCCTGAGAGCCCTTGGGTGCTCAGCCCTGGGTCAGAACTTGAACACCAAGTGGAAAAAGGGCTGACCAATCACGTGAGAGAGATGGAAAATGCAGTGGCTTGGACGGTCAGCGACAGAACTGCGTTCATTTAGGATGTGGGTATTGAAATGGAGTTTTGAAGCCTGGCTGAGGGGCCTGCACTCTGTCCCTCCCACAGCGCCCTCAGCTCCTCCACCTTCCCCACACTGACCAGTCCGCACCTATCACACCTATGGTGGGCCACAGTCCCACCCCAGCTTCCAGGTACTTCCGGAGAGGGTAGATGCAGCTCTGGGCCAGGAAGGATTGCTCCCTTCCCTTCTCCCTTTCTGCAGCTCTGCTTGGTTCTGGTTGGCTTCTGCTGGCGTTGAAAGACTCAAGTGTGCTAAGAAGGAAGTCCTGGCCATCATAGTTGTAGTGCCATTGTCCCCAGCTGCTCTGGTTCCCCAACAACTCACAGACCACTGTGGTCTGGAGGGTGTGTGACTCTGAAAAGCCAAAATCCCAGAACTCCAAAGTTACAAGAGGGTAAAACAGTGGCTCTCTCCACCTCCACTCCTACCTCCTCCCAAAATGCCTGAAATTCCCTTCTCCAACTGATAAACCCTCACTCATTCTCTAAGACATATCTTCTCTGTCACGTACATCCCCACCAAAGTCACGCTGCACCCACCCTCCCTCCCCTGCAGCAAACAGCTCCCTCCCATGTACCCAGCACGCACTCTTCAGCCACAGTTCCTCCTTCCATATCCACCCACCCACCCTCCTGAAGGCCCAGCACAGACAGCACTGTGTTTCCATCCCTGATCTAAATGCCAGCCACGGGCTAGATGCCCATGGCAAATGTAATGAACCTCTCCAAGCCTTGCTTTCTTTCCTCATCTGGCAACTGGAGATAATCATAGTCTCAGGCTGGGCAGGGTGGCTCATGCCTGTAATCCCAGCACTTTGGGAGGCCGAGGCAGGTGGATCACGAGGTCAAGAGATCGAGACCATCCTGGTTAACATGGTGAAATCCCGTCTCTGCTAAAAATACAAAATAAATTAGCTGGGCATGGTGGCGCAGCCTGTAGTCCCAGCTACTTGGGAGGCTGAGGCAGGAGAATTGCCTGAACCCAGGAGGCCGAGGTCGCGGTGAGCCGAGATCGAACCATTGCACTCCAGCCTTGGTGACAAGAGCGAAACTCCGTCTCAAAAAAAAAAAAAAAAAAAATCATAGTCTCTACCAGATGAGTAAAGATTATATGAGATTATCCTTGCCAGCTAAGTTAATGTAGGACGTACCAATAAGAATTCAAGGGCTGGGCACAGTGGCTCACGCCTGTAATCCCAGCACTTTGGGAGGCCAAGGCAGGTGGATCACAAGGTCAAGAGATCAAGACAATCCTGGCTAATATGGTGAAACCCTGTCTCTACTAAAAATATAAAAATTAGCTGGGCATGGTGGCACATGGCTGTAGTCCCAGCTACTCTGGAGGCTGAGGCAGGAGAATTGCTTTAACCTGGGAGGCAGAGGTTGCAGTGAGCCAAGATCATGCCATTGCACTCCAACCTCGCAACAAAGTGAAACTCCATCTCAAAAAAAAAAAAAAGTAGCTGCTATTGTAAGGTATGTTATTGGTAACAGCAAAATAAACAGCACTTATTAGGCTCAAATGTTTGCTAGATGAAAAGAAAATAGAAATACATTTTGCTCAGGTCACCAGGGTTCTTATTAACTACTGGTGGTGGCGGCAGGTGAATGTCAGAAAAAGGCCAGTTTTTCCCATTTCCTGGATTTGAGAAAATTGGGTAAGATTTTTTTCACTTGGCTGGGTGTGGTGGCTCAGGCCTGTAATCTCAGCACTTCGGGAGGCTGAGGTGGGAGGATCATGAGGTCAGGAGTTTGAGATCAGCCTGGTCAACATGGTGAAGCTCCGTCTCTACTAAAAATCTAAAAATTACCCAGGCATAGTGGTGGGTGCCTGTAATCCCAGCTACTGGGGAGGCCGAGGCAGGCGAATTGCTTGAACCTGGGAGGTGGAGTGGGCAGAGGTTGAACCTGCAGTGGGCAGAGGTTGTAGTGAGCCAAGATCATGCCACTGTACTCCAGCCTGGGAAACAAGAGCAAAACTCCATCTCAGAAAGAAAAAAAAAAAAATTTTTTTTTTTTTTAAACCTGAAGGGAGGGCTTGGGAGTTTGACAGTGACTTGTATCTTAGAGACCTATTCCTTACTGGGGGAAAGGGTGAGAGAGGCTTATACTTCTGTCCTACCCTTGCTAATACCTAAGACCCAGTCCTTTGGTACCACTGGTTACACAAAACATGGTTTGAGTCAGGGATGAATTCCCCCAGGCAGGAGGAGATGGCATCAGGACCTCAGGGAAGCAGGGTGGTATCCAGAGTGCCTAGCACAGTGCCCGCGCAGAGCTGAATGCATCTTAGCTGAACAATAACAAATGCAGCTGCACATCTTCAGGCCTACGCTGAGCTCTTCTCTCTTTCCTGCCTCCTCCTGAGCCCCCAAGCCCACCTTGGCTCTGGTTGTTGTGTGCCATGATGCTCCTCAGGATGGTGACAAGGTGCTGGGCTCTGGCCTTCAGTCTGAGAACCAGCTTTTCCCAAGCTCTTGGGTCCCTGGCCTGAGCCCAGGATGTGTGGGGCTCTGCCCACCTGCCCTCCTTGCAGCACCATAAGAAAAGCTGGTCATCCAGGTAGCCTGAGACTTCAAAAGGGCTTTGCCCAGGGCTGGGCTGGGAAAGAGCAATGAAGTCGTAGCGCAGAGAGTGGGTTGCTGAGGAAAAGAGAATGATGGGAAAGGGTTATTCTCCAACAAGAGTCTTGCCTAGGAGATACTAGACAAGGTGCCCATGTGGTGAGGCTGTGTGACCGTTTTTGAGGGCACCAAAGGAGTGGGTAAGGGGAATGCAGACTCAACAATGGGAAGAGCAAGAACACCTCCTGTTTCCCTGCAGGGCCTCATCTAGGCCTCATCTTACTGTTTTAAATAGTAACGACTCCCATATCTCTACATCCCTGCTCTTCACATTGGTGTTTCCAACTACCTATTGGCCATCTGGACCTAGGGTTCCCTATGGCCTCAAATCTGACACATCCCAAACAGCATTTCCTCTTGGCCCTGGCCATGGAACAAACTGCTTCTCATCCTGTACTTTTGGTGGGTGGCATCCTCCTCTCACTTGACTGCTTACTAAAGCCAGAAGTGGGTTGAGGTGTGGGCAACTACCTGATGTCATGTGCTCTCCTGGTCCAACAGCATGAAGCTATCTGAGAGGTCGTGGAACAAAAAAGCTCATGAACCAAATTTAAATGCTCAGTTCTGAGAATCAGGAGGCAAGTGCTGGGGTAGGTCAACACACGGGAGAGAGTGAGCCACCACATCTGGCCTATTTTTATTTTTTTGAGACAGGGTCTGGCTTTATCACCCAGGCTAGAGTGTAGCAGCAAGATCTCGCATCACTGTAACCTCCACTTCCTGATCTCAAGCAATCTCCCACCTCTGCGACTGAGTAGCTGAGACTACAGATGTGTGCTACCCTACCTGACTAATTTATATATTTTTTGTAGAGATGGGGTTTTATCATGTTTTCCAAGCTGGTCTCAAACTCCTGGGCTCAGGCGATCCACCCACTTCAGCCTCTCAAAGTATTAGGATTACAAGGGTGAGACAGTGTGCTCAGCCTATTTTTTTGTTTTTTAAAAATAGGATCCTTGGCCAGGCACTTGGCTTATGCCTGTAATCTCAGCACTTTTGGAGGTCCAGGCGAGTGGATCACTTGAAGTCAGGAGTTTGAGACCAGTCTGGCCAACATGGTGAAACCCCATCTCTACTAAAAATGCAAATATTATGCCAGGCACAGTGGTTCACGCCTGTGTAATCCTAGAACTCTGGGAGGCCAAGGCGGGTGGATCACTTGAGGTCAGGAGTTCAAGACCAGCCTGGCTAACATGGTGAAACCCTGTCTCTAATAAAAATTCAAAAATTAGGGCTGGGCACAGTGGCTCACACCTGCAATCTCAGCACTTTGGGAAGCCAGAAGCAGAGACGGGTGGATCATGGGTCAGGTGTTTTGAGACCAGCCTGGCCAACATGGTGAAACTCCATATCTGTTAAGAATATAAAAATTAGGCCGGGCGCGGTGGCTCAAGCCTGTAATCCCAGCACTTTGGGAGGCCGAGGCGGGTGGATCACAAGGTCGAGAGATCGAGACCAACCTGGTCAACATGGTGAAACCCCATCTCTACTAAAAATACAAAAAATTAGCTGGGCATGGTGGCGCGTGCCTATAATCCCAGCTACTCAGGAGGCTGAGGCAGGAGAATTGCCTGAACCCAGGAGGCGGAGGTTGCAGTGAGCCGAGATCGTGCCATTGCACTCCAGCCTAGGTAACAAGAGCGAAACTCCGTCTCAAAAAAAAAAAAAAAAAAAAAAAAAAGAATATAAAAATTAGCACCGGGCGCGGTGGCTCAAGCCTGTAATCCCAGCACTTTGGGAGGCCGAGGCGGGTGGATCACGAGGTCAAAAGATCAAGACCATCCTGGTCAACATGGTGAAACCCCGTCTCTACTAAAAAAATACAAAAAATTAGCTGGACATGGTGGCACGTGCCTGTAACCCCAGCTACTCAGGAGGCTGAGGCAGGAGAATTGCCTGAACCCAGGAGGCGGAGGTTGCGGTGAGCCGAGATAGCACCATTGCACTCCAGCCTGGGTAACAAGAGCGAAACTCCGTCTCAAAAAAAAAAAAAAAAAAAAAAAAAAATTAGCTAGGTCTGGTGGTGCATGCCTGTAATCCCAGCTACTCAGGAGTCTGAGGCAGGAGAATCGCTTGAACCCAGAAGGCAGAGGTTGCAGTGAGCCGAGATCATGCCACTGTACTCCAGCCTGGGCGACAGAACAACACTCCATCCCAAAAAAATAAAAAAATAAAAAAAATTAGCTGGGTGTGGTGGTGGGCGCTTGTAATCCCTGTTGCTCGGGAAGCTGAGGCAGGAGAATCACTTGAACTGGGGAGGCAGAGGTTGCAGTAACTCCACCTGGGCAAAAGTGAAACTCCATTTAAAAAAAAAAAAAAAAGATGGGCTGGGCATGGTGGCTCAAACCTATAATAACAGCACTTTGGGAGGCAGAGGCGGGCGGAACATGAGGTCAGGAGATGGACTCCATCCTGGCCAACATGGTGATACCCCATCTCTAAAAATATGTTTTCCAGGCTGGAATGCAGAGCATGATCATAGCTCACTGCAGCCTGGGACTTCTGGGATCAAGTAATCTTCCCACCTTAGCTTCCTTAGTAGCAGGAACTACAGGGACATTCTACCGTACCTAGCTCAAGAATATGTATTTTTTGGCTGGACACGGTGGCTCACGTCTGTAATCCTAGCACTTTGGGAAGCTGAGGCAGAGGGATCAAGAGGTCAGGAGATCCAGACCATCCTGGCTAACAGGGTGTAACCCCATCTCTATTAAAAATACAAGAAATTAGTTGGTCATGGTGGCACATGCCTGTAATCCCAGCTACTTGGGAGGCTGAGGCAGAAGAATTGCTTGAACCTGGGAGGCAGAGGTTGCAGTGAGCTGAGCATGCCACTGCACTCCAGCCTGGGCAATAGAGACTCCATCTTAAAATAATAATAATATTCTTGAGATACATGTGATGTAAGATGAGTATTTGTTGCTAAGATCTCTCAGTTAAGCTGTGCAGTAGGTCTGTAGGTCTGTGCTGTCCTATATAATAGCCATTAGCCACGTGTAGCAACTGAGCATGTGAAATGTGGCTAGTCCAAATTCAAATGTGCTCCTAAGAGCAAGACACACATGAGATTTTAAAGAAATCCCAGCTACCCGCTATTCCCAGTGAGCCAAGATCGCACCACTGCACTACAACCTGGGTGACAGAGCAAGACTCTCTCTCTCTCGCTTTTTTTTTTTAACTTAAAAAAATTTTTTTTTTTTAAAGACGGGGTTTTGCCATGTTGGTCAGGCTGGTCTTGAACTCCCAACCTCAGGTGATCTGCCTGCCTTGGCCTCCAAAGTGCTTGGATTACAGGCGTGAGCCACCATGCCTGGTGCAAGACTGTTTCAAAAAAAAAAAAAAAAAATATATATATATATATATACACACACACACACACACACACACACACACACCCATGTATACACACACATACATAAATTAGCTGGGTGTGGTGGAGGGCGCCTATAGTCCCAGCTACTCCGTCGGGAGGCTGAAGCAGGAGAATCGCTTGAACCCAGGAGGCAGAGGTTGCAGCTATTTAATAAAAAAAAAGGCTAGGCCGGGCGCAGTGGCTCAAGCCTGTAATCCCAGCACTTTGGGAGGCCGAGGCGGGTGGATCACGAGGTCGAGAGTTCGAGACCATCCTGGTCGACATGGTGAAACCCCGTCTCTACTAAAAATACAAAAAATCAGCTGGGCATGGTGGTGTGTGCCTGTAATCCCAGCTACTCAGGAGGCTGAGGCAGGAGAATTGCCTGAACCCAGGAGGCGGAGGTTGCGGTGAGCCGAGATCGCGCCATTGCACTCCAGCCTGGGTAACGAGTGAAACTCCGCCTCAAAAAAAAAAAAAAAAAATGGCTAGCCACCATGCCCGGCTAATTTTTTTGCACTTTTAGTAGACACAGGGTTTCACCATATCGGCCAGGCTCCTGACCTTGTGATCCGCCCACCTTGACCTTCCACAGTGTTGGGATTACAGTATTACAGGATTACAGGCATGAGCCATCACGCCCAGCCTATTTTTGTTGTTTTGTTTTATTAGAGACAGGGTCTTACTATGTTGCCCAGGCTGGAGTGCAGTGGCTATTCACAGGTCCGATCCCACTACTCATCAGCACGGGAGTTTTGACCTGCTCCGTTTCCAACTTGGGCCGGTTCACCCCTCCTTAGCAACCTGGTGGTCCTGCGCTCCCGGAAGATCACCATATTGATGCTGAACTTAAGTGCGGACACCCGATCGCATAGTGCACTACAGCCCAGAACTCCTGGGCTCAAGCGATCCTCCAGCCTCAGCCTTCCAAGTAGCTGGGACTACAGGCACGCGACACCGCGCCCGGCACAAATCTGTATTTTTAACAATCACCTCAGATGATTCTTTTGAGAAATACTACCGTGGACAAGGTTTTAACTCTGAGCCTCACATTCCTCATATGTGAGAAAATTACACCAATCTTAGATGATTAGTGGTCATACCAAAAAACACAGCTGGCAGTTATGTTAAAATGTATTTTTAGCGGGGCGCGGTGGCTCAAGCCTGTAATCCTAGCACTTTGGGAGGCTGAGGCGGGTGGATCACGAGGTCAAGAGATAGAGACCATCCTGGTCAACATGGTGAAACCCTGTCTATACTAAAAATACAAAAAACTAGCTGGGCATGGTGGCGCGTGCCTGTAATCCCAGCTACTTAGGAGGCTGAGGCAGGAGAATTGCCTGAGCCCAGGAGGCGGAGGTTGCAGTGAGCCGAGATCGCGCCATTGCACTCCAGCCTGGGTAACAAGAGCGAAACTCCGTCTCAAAAAAAAAAAAAAAAAAAAAAAAGTATTTTTAACTGCCAGGCGCAGTTAAAAACAGCAATAAGTCGGGAGATAAAAGCCGCTAAAAAAACAACAACAAAAAACAGCGATAAGGGGAAACCCCATCTCTACTAAAAGATACAAAAATTAGTTGGGCGTGGTAGTGCACTCCGGTAATCCCAGCTACTCAGGAGGTTGACAGGAGAATCACTTGAACCCGGGAGGGGGAGGTTGTAGTGAGCCAAGATTGTGCCATTGCACTCCAGCCTGGGCAACAGAGATTTCGTCTCTAAATACACACACACACACACACACACACACACACACACACAGAGCTATCATTGGTTCTTTTTCTTTCTTTTTTTTGTTTTTGAGACTGAGTTTCACTCTTGTTCTATTGTTGCCCAGGCATGAACTTGGCTGACCATAACCTCCGCCTCTGGGGTTCAAGTGATTCTCCTGCCTCAGCTTCCCAAGTAGCTGGGATTACAGGCATGCGCCACCACGCCTGGCTAATTTTGTATTTTTTGTAGAGACGGGGTTTCTCTGTGTTGGTCAGGCTGATCTTGAACTCCCAACCTCAGGTGATCCAACAGACTAGGCCTCCCAAAGTGCTGGGATTATAGGTGTGAGCCACCACGCCCGGCTTCTCGTTTTTTTTTTTGTTTGTTTGTTTGTTTTGTTTTTCAGAAAGGGTCTCACTCTGTCACCCAGGTTGGAGGGCAGTGGCACAATCATGAGGCCACTGCAACCTCTGCCTCACAGGCTCAAGCGATCCTCCCACCTCAGTCTCCAGGCTGGGACTACAGGCATGCGCCACCAAGCCTGGCTAATTTTTTTTGTATTTTCTGTATTGACGGGTTTTCACCATATTGCCCAGGCTGGTCTCAAACTCCAGAGCGCAAGCAATCCGCCCACCTTGGCCTCCCAAAGTCCTGGGATTACCCGCCAAGTTTACGGTTAAGTGGGAGACATGGGAGAATTGCTTACCAGAGGCAACCAGTTTCAGAGGAAGACCTACCCCCTACTCCTGACCTTATCTCACAACCTCCATCGTCCCAGACCTCCCTGGGCTCCAGAAAGCTCTCCCAAGGGGCCTCATAAAGGCCACAGTTTGGGGAAAGTGATGGCTCAGAGGAAGGGGAGAGGTGCTACATAATTAAGTCCCCACAAGACTCAGCAGCCGCGTGAGGCAACGTCAGGCCTACAGTGGTGGTGGTGGCACCCGGCCTCAGTTTCCCTCGAGGGCGGGACTCTCTCTGAAAGGCGCAGGGGCGGGGGACAGGGGACGGGGGTCAGGCCTCGTGGGGGAGGGGCACACTTAGCAGCTATGGAGGGCGGAGCAGAGCCCTGCACTCACTGGTCTGACTTCCGGAACAAGCCGCTTCCAGCAAGCACAGCAGTAGGACGAAGGTGTGCAAGAGAGTGGGCCACCGCGGGTAGCGTTTCTCGCTGAGCTGCAGCTCCGCAGCAACCAGTCCCGCAGACATCACAGGCCGAGCTCACACCCGGCGAAGTCCTGCCCTGCTCCAAGCGGCGCGTATGGGGAGGCTCCCATTGGGCCGAAGCTGCTACGGAGGCGGGACTTTGCCTTTTCCTTGAACTCCATTGGGTTAAGCCCAATCCGAGACAGGGGTCTGTCCTCTGCAAGGGGAGGGGTGATTGGCTCACCCATACTTAGAATCTGGCCTTTGGGGCCCAGCGCGCTGGCTTATCGCTTGTAATGCCAGCACTTTCGGAGGCCGAGGGTGGGCCGAGGTTAGGAGTTCAAGATCAGCCTGCTCAACATGGCGAAACCCCATCGCTACTAAAAACACAAAACTTAGCCGGTCGTAGTGACAGGAGACTGTGATCCCAGCTACTTTGGAGGCTGAGGCAGGAGAATTGCTTGAACCTGGGAGGCGGAGGTTGCAGTCAGATGAGACCTTGCCACTGCACTCCAGCCTGAGCAACAGAATGAGACTCTGTCTTGGGGGGGAAGAAAAGAATCTGGGGTTTGGCCGGGCTCGGTAATCCCAGCACTTCGGAATGCCGAGGTGGGCGGATCACCTGAGGTCAAGAGTTGGAGACCAGCCTGTCCGACTTGGTGAAACCCCGTCTCTACTAAAAATACAAAAATTATCTGGGCATGGTGGTGCGTGCCTGTAATCCCAGCTACTCGGGAGGCTGAGGCAAGAGAATCACTTGAATCCGGGAGGTAGAGATTGCAGTGAGCTGAGATTGCGCCATTGCACTCCAGCCTTGGCAACAGGGAAGACTGTATCCCCTTCCCACCTCCCCCCCACCAAAAAAAAAGAAAAGAGAAAAAAAAAGAGGCCGGGTACGGTGGCTCACGTCTTTAATCCCGTGTAATCCCAGCATTTTGGGAGGCTGAGGCAGGCAGATCACGAGCTCAGGAGATCCAGACCATCCTGGCCAACATGGTAAAACCCCAACTCTACTAAAAAGACAAAAATTGGCCGGGCACGGTGGCTCAAGCCTGTAATCCCAGCACTTTGGGAGTCTGAGCCGGGTGGATCACCAGGTCAAGAGATCGAGATCATCCTGGTCAACATGGTGAAACCCCATCTCTACTAAAAATACAAAAAATTAGCTGGGCATGGTGGCGCATGCCTGTAATCCCAGCTACTCAGGAGGTTGAGGCAGGAGAATTGCCTGAACCCAGGAGGCAGAGGTTGCAGTGAGCCGAGATCGTGCCATTGCACTCCAGCCTGGGTAACAAGAGCAGAACTCTGTCTCCAAAAAAAAAAAAAAAAAAGTAGGGGGGCCGGGCGCGGTGGCTCAAGCCTGTAATCCCAGCACTTTGGGAGGCCGAGGTGGGCAGATCACGAGGTCAAGAGATCAAGACCATCCTGGTCAACATGGTGAAACCCCCTCTCTACTAAAAATACAAAAAACTAGCTGGGCATGGTGGCGCGTGCCTGTGATCCCGGCTACTCAGGAGGCTGAGGCAGGAGAATTGCCTGAATCCGGGAGGCGGAGGTTGCGGTGAGCCGAGATCGCGCCATTACACTCCAGCCTGGGTAACAAGAGCGAAACTCCGTCTCAAAAAAAAAGTTAAAAAAAAAAAAAAAAAAAGAAAAAAAATTAGCTGGGTGTAGTGGTGTGCGCCTGTAGTCCAAGCTACTAGGGAGGCTGGGGCAGGAGAATCGCTTGAACCCAGGAGGCAGAGGTTGCAGCAAGCCGAGATGGAGCCACTGCCCTCCAGTCTGGGCGACAGAGCAAGACTTCGTCTCAAATAAATAAATAAATAAATAAATAACAAACAAATAAAAGAAAGAGGCCGGGCGCGGTGGCTCAAGCCTGTAATCCCAGCACTTTGGGAGGCCGAGGCGGGTGGATCACAAGGTCAAGAGATCGAGACCATCTTGGTCAACATGGTGAAACCCCGTCTCTACTAAAAATACAAAAAAAAATAGCTGGGCATGGTGGTGCGTGCCTGTAATCCCAGCTACTCAGGAGGCTGAGGCAGGAGAATTGCCTGAACCCAGGAGGCGGAGGTTGCGGTGAGCCGAGATCGCGCCATTACACTCTAGCCTGGGTAACAAGAGCGAAACTCCGTCTCAAAAAAAAAAATAAATAAAAATAAATAAAAAAATTAAAAAAAAAATAAAAAAGAAAGAAAGAAAAATGATGCGTATTGTTTTCAGAATAACAGGACAGAATATTTGACTTTTAGGCTATCAAAGCATGGGGTGGTACCTACCTCCACAGAGTCTGCAGCCAACTGGATATGGATAACTGTTTATCAAGATACACAACAATACAAGGATACATTCTAAGAAAAGTGGAGTTGGATATGGTGGCTCACGTCTGTAATCCCAGCACTTTCACAGGCTGAGGCTGGAGGATCTCCTGAGCCCAGGAGTTAGAGACTGCACTTCAGTCTGGACAAGAGAGTGAGGCCCTGTCTCTATTTAAAAAAAAAAGAAAAGAAAAGAAAAGAAAGAAGGTAGGCCAGGTGCAGTGACTCACACCTGTAATCACAGCACTTTGGGAGGCCGAGGCAGGTGAATCACCTGAGGTTGGAAGTTCGAGACCAGCCTGACCAACATGGAGAAACCCTATCTCTACTAAAATTACAAAATTAGCCAGGCATGGTAACTAACACATTCCTGTAATCCCAGCTACTTGGGAGGCCAAGGCAGGAGAATTGCTTGAACCCGGGAGGCAGAGGTTGTGGTGAGCCGAGATTTTGCCCTTGCACTCCAGCCTGGGCAACAAGAGCAAAAACTTGGTCTATTTAAAAAAAAAAAAAAAAAAAAAAGGAAATAAAAGAAAAAGGTACATAAATTGAGAAACCCATTGTATTCTAATTTACTTAGCCAGCCCCTTATTAATGAATTTTTGCTTGTTACATTTTTGGCTTTACAGTGTTGTGGCAGATGTCTTCATATATTACTTTGCCCCTAATTATCTTTCTCTCTCTCTCTTTTTTTCCTAAGACAGAGTGTCTGGCACCAGGCTTGACTGCAGTGGTGTGATCTGGACTGACTGCATCCTTTACCTCCTAAATTCAGGTGATTTTCCTGCCTCAGCCTCATTTGTAGCTGGGACTATAGGTGTGTGCCACCATGCCTGGCTAATTTTTTGTATTTTAGTAGAGGCAGAGTTTCCGTGTTAGCCAGGATAGTCTTGATCTCCTTGTGATCCTCCCACCTCGGCCTCCCAAAGTGCTGGGATTACAGGCATGAGCCACCGTGCCTGGCCATTATTTTTGTATTTTTAGTAGAGACGAGGTTGCACCATGTTGGCCAGGCTGGTTTTGAACTCCTGACCTCAGTTGATCCTCCCACCTTGGCCTCCTAAAGTGCTGAGTTTACAGGTGTGAGCCACTGCACCTGGCCCAATTATTTTATTTTTAATTATTTTTATTTTTCTTTTTTTTTAATTTTTTTTTTTTTTTTTTTTTTTTTTTTTTTTGAGACGGAGTTTTGCTCTTGTCACCCAGGCTGGAGTGCAATGGCGCGATCTCGGCTCACCGCAACCTCCGCCTCCTGGGTTCAGGCAATTCTCCTGCCTCAGCCTCCTGAGTAGCTGGGATTACAGGCACGCGCCACCATGCCCAGCTAATTTTTTGTATTTTTAGTAGAGATGGGGTTTCACCATGTTGACCAGGTTGGTCTCGATCTCTCGTCCTTGTGATCCACCCACCTCGGCCTCCCAAAGTGCTGGGATTACAGGCTTGAGCCACCGCGCCCGGCCTTATTTTTTATTATTAACATGAACATATTTTATTTCTTTTTTCTTTTTTTGAGATGGAGTTTCACTCTTATTACCCAGGCTGGAGTGCAATGGCACGATCTCGGCTCACCGCAACCTCCGCCTCCTGGGTTCAGGCAATTCTCCTGTCTCAGCCTCCTGAGTAGCTGGGATTACAGGCACGCGCCACCATGCTCAGCTAATTTTTTGTATTTTCAGTAGAGACGGGGTTTCACCATGTTGACCAGGATGGTCTCGATCTCTTGACCTTGTGATCCACCCGCCTCAGCCTCCCAAAGTGCTAGGATTACAGGCTTGAGCCACCGCGCCCGGCTTATTTTTTCTTTAAGTTCTGGAATACATGTGCAGAATGTGTAGGTTTGTTACAGAGGTATACATATGCCATAGTGGTTTGCTACACCTATCAATGTGTCATCTAGGTTTTAAGCCCTGAATGCATTAGGTATTTGACCTGATCCTCTCCTTTCCCTTGTCCTGCACCCTATTTTATTTTTTTGAGATGTAGTCTCTCACTGTTGCCCAGGCTGGAGTGCAGTGATGTGATCTTGGCTTACTGCAACCTCCACCTCACAGGGTCAAGCCATTCTCTTGTCTCAGCCTCCTGAGTAGCAGGAACTACAGGCACTCACCACCACAACTGGGTGATTTTTGTATTTTTTTGTAGAGATAGGGTTTCGCCATGTTTGCCAGACTGGTCTCAAACTTCTGTCCTCAAGTGATCTGCCCACCTCGGCCTCCCAAAATGCTGGGATTACTGGCATGAACCACCGCCCCGGTGAAAATATTTTTATTTTAAACATTTGTTAAATTTATTAAAATTTTATTTTAAAGTTGCACTATTTACATATAGTAAAATAATCACCTTTAGCAAATCTATCAATGAATTTTGACAAATACAGCCATGTCACTCACACCCCTCTCAAGATATAGAAAGTTCCCTTTGCCCTCTTCGATTCTGCGCTACCCCTGAGTAGCCATGGATCTGATGACTATCACTATGGAGAAGTTTTGCTGGTTTTAAAACTTCCTATAAATGAACGCATAGGGTATGGCCTCCTTTGTGTCTGGCTTTTTGTATTTGGCATAATATCTATGTGATCCATCCATGTTATCGTACCTTTTTTTTGTTTGTTTGTTTGAGACAGAGTTTCGCTTTTGTTGCCCAGGCTGGAGTGCAATGGCTCAATCTCTGCTCTCACCGCAACCTCCTCCCAGGTTCAAGCGATTCTCTTGCCTCGGTCTCCCAAGTATCTGGGATTATAGGCATGCACCACCATGCCCAGCTAATTTTTTGTATTTTTAGTAGAGATGG